ATATTTAAGATTTTATACCATTTTTAATATTCTGAAATGTCTTGACTTATTCTCTCTTTTATGTTAAACTAGCAGATGAGCCTGCCATTGCTTGGGAAAAAAGTATTGATAGCGAAGATTAAGATTATTAGATTATAGCCGATCTTACCCATTTTATTGAGTGCAAGAATGTCCCTTCTCTTCTGAGACTAATTAGAAAATTTTTAGATATCTGCTTACCACACCAGGATAATGATAATTAAGACTCACTGCAATCACTAACCAGTGCATAGTACCACTAAGTGATGAATAAATGTTCTTCTTCAGGTTTACTAAATTTGAAAAATAAGCTGGATCTTCCAGAATCGTTAATAATGTTCGATTTTATGCTTGAATTTATATTTAAGACGAAGAATTTAAATAGAGCAAACTTATTCACATGCGCTCTTCATGTCAACTTTATATATGAAATGCTCTTACACATGTGTGCCACCTATCATAGCATAAATGTACTATGCCAGAAACCTTCGTCCTTACATACAAGAACTATTATTTATATACTTTTAAGATGTAAATGATGACAAGATGTGTAGAAGGAAGCCAAGAAGTAAAATTGAATTTAACATATACTTCAGCTGTGTTAAAGTAAACAATTTAGTCATGAAACTTATAAGAATAAATTTCATAAACTTTCCATTGTACTGTTTAAATAATAAGATCTTATTTTACATGGGATTAACATAGGCAGATTTGTTTTTGCAAATAGTTAAGTTAAACCATTCCTAATACCATTGAGTGTGACTTAAGTCAGCAGAGTGTATTTCTCCAACTTCTGCTATTCTGAACACAGTTATTCAATGCTACTCACAATGGTGAATATTGTAGTTTGCATATGTGGTGAATATCTTGGTTTCAATATGATGTAACATAATTTTGCTTTGTATGATCAGAAACATAAGAATAAAATGTTGTTCATTAGAACATTTAGTGTTTTCCATCTGACTATAATGATTTTATATTTTTTTATGAATGTCAAAATGTTTATATATTAAAATTACAATTGACATGTAGGCAGCCATTTTATAATTAAAAGAAATGTCTAGGTAATCTGAGACTACTTGTAATAAAGCCCAAATAGGCTATATGCAGAATTTTATTTTATCTACTGACATGAAACCCAGCATTAAACAAGACCATACTGTACTTTCCTTCAATATGGCAATATGTTTTTTCTTTAGTGTATTTAAACAATTGATTATAGCAATCAATTTTTGCTTTTGAATAATACAGTAGAAACTCGAAAACTCAGCTCTCGATAACCCGGCACTCCGGATAACTCGGCCACAGCCTGGCAAGGCAAAAAAATTCTTAGTTGATTCATTTTCATTATAGACAGCTTTATAAAAGTATAAAAGCTCTCATAAAGTATTTTTCTGAGGTCTGTCTTATCAGGTAAATTACTGTACACAGTGTATTCATTAATTTTCATTTTCATGTAGTAAAGGCTCTATGCCTTCATAAAGGATGTACTTTTCGTTTGTTTAAGGGTATTTGGGCAGTTTATTCTCTGTTATATTCTCTAGTAAACAATACATACAAGTACAGTACAGTATTTTCTGAGGAAACACTTGTACTTATTTTTTTTAACCCCATTCCCGATAACCTGGCATTTTCACAAACTCGGCCACCCTTCGGTCCACATTAGGCCGAGTTTTCGAGGTTCTACTGTATTAAGAAATGATGACTTTTTTTAATAACGAACAAGTATTTAGAATCCAAAATTATAGTTTTAGAAATGAAAGGATGAATACATAAACTTACAAAAGAATCTTTATGCAAAAAATAGAAAAAAATATTCAGAAGTAATAAATTAATATAGTAAGTATGGGACTCTATTTATTGACTCAATTATCTATCTCACACAATGTAGAAGAGCTGATGATTTTTTTGGTGAGTTTGATCTCTCTCCATCCAGATGCTGCATATGTTCATTATAATCAGGAGTTTTCTATCATTTTTACACCCATGATGCACCAGAACATCCAATGAGTAGTTTAACCACACTTAAAAAGAAAATGTATTAGAATTGCACATTCCATTGCTCAAAATATGGTTCTACAAAAAGTATTTAAGTGTGTGCTCTCTGGCCTAAGTTTAAAATAACTTGCTTGATGCACGTAAAAAAAATTGTGCACTTCCACCATTGGGAAAGATTGATTTTTTTTTGTTGATAATCAAAAGCCAATGTTGTTTCTCTTGGTGGGTTTTTAAACTTGTGCTCTTTGACTCTGGCATTATGCACATACTTGCAAGTGATTCTTCTTTTGTTTATTCTTTTAGCTATTTCTTCAACTTTCAGTTTTAACACAACTTTAATATGGGAGCTATCCAAGTTCTTAAGATCTTGTTAACTTGCATCTTCCTTGTAACTTCAACTTGTAATGTATCCCAAACTCTTTGCTTCAAATGATGATGCAATAATTCCCAAATTATTACAGTCCCTTGGCAAATCTTGACAATGATAATCTTTAAGAACAGGCAGAGCAAATCATACAGACAGATTCTGATGATGGTATATACAGAACATGTTGCACATTTTTTTTTCCAGCAGTAGTGTCACAGCAATTATGAACAATTCATTGAAAATTATCCATATTATAAGTGGAGTTTTAAAACTAAATGGTGTGCTATGGAGAGGATATCCTGCTTCCAATTTCTTAGTGAACAAAGGGAAAAAACAATTGTAATGCCTAAAATGTATCAAGTGTCATCAAGATTTTCCAAAGATCTCACACTTGCAACTTAGCCCTTCATCCAAATTTTAAAATTAGAGGGAGATTTATATATAACAACTTATTGAATGGCGCTCTTTATAAGTCATAATGGTTTGTCTGTGATCAAAGTTCAAAGCAATCACATGACTCTTTTGCCAATACATACAACTCAGCAAGGCTGATAGCATGATAAAACTGGAAATTTGACCTATAGGCTGAGAGATTCCAGGCCCTGTTTCTCCATGTAAACTTTGGGCATGTTGCCAGTTGTGTACTCATTGCGTTCTACATACCAATCAAGTTGATAATTTGTTGTTTATGATAAATTTTTTTATTTTGATCTTTATAACAGGCATTCAACATGCACAATGTCACAACAAAATTACCCTTTTCAAAACTTGGGTCTTGTGGCTACACAAGTAAAAGTTTTAACTGCTTGCTGGAGTTAATAGGTGGCTGGCTACACATTTGAGTGAGTGTTTTTAAACACTCATATGTGTAGCCAGCTAAGTTTTGAAAAGGGTAATTTTGTTGTGACATTGTGCATGTTGAATGCCTGTTGAACACCTTACCATAACATTCCATCTAAAGCAGATGTGTGTAATGTCCTATTCCTATAAAACATTTAGTTAAATTAACACATTAAGTTGTAGCTTCTCTCTCTTTGTTATTTTTAGACTAAAAAGTGTATTAAAAATATGAGGAGAAACTAGGATAAATGAAAAAGGGATTAAAAATACACCAGTCCTGGATCCCAATAATAACTGAAGTGATATTGTGTAGGGTGTTTTGAAGGTGCTGTTTAGGTTGAGGAATGGGATAATAAAAGGAAGACTTTCTTGATTTTGTGAAGTTATGAAAAAATTGTCTAAAATTGTGACTAGAATTAAGGTATTTGTGCTTTTATGACTTTTTATTTGGGGTAAAAATCCTGATCTGTAATGTCAAGTGTTGATTTTAGCCTGTTATTTTGGTTGATGAAGTGTTTAGTAATGAAAGCTATACATGTAATAAGTAGATTGGTACAGATGATTAGCTTCAGTGTATTTTTATGTAAATTCCAGCTGAAGAGGAGTCATGAAAAACTCTAAATTCATACTGGAAATTAAAGCTGTTTTCTTAAAATTAATTTATTGTCATTATTGAATGTATCATAAGTCTGGAATAATAGTTTGTTGGTAGACCAAAAATGGTATTAAACTTCTTATATGCCTAATATCATCACAGAATAAATTGAATAAAATATTCATTAACTTTAATGCTCTATATAAACAGGAGATAATGTCATTTTAACATTAAGTTCAAGAAATATAGTAAGACTGCTTGTGGAACATAGATATATAGTGTTAAAAACAGGGCTGTGGAGTCACGTAAAAATCTACCAACTCCAACTTTTCCTTACCATCCGACTCCGGCTAAAACACCAAAACTCCACGACTCCGACTCCACAGCCCTGTTTAAAACAAAGTTGGCATATTCTAAAAAATAGAACATAAGGAAAGGAAAAGAAAAGCCACCTTTTATTAGTTACAGTAGAGCCTCGAAAACTCGGCACTCAATAATCCGGCACTCTGGATAACTTGGCCACACCTTGGCAGGGCAAAAAAATCCTTAGGCGTAAAGCCTCCATGAGGCATAAAGCTGTCTATAATTTTCATTATAGACAGCTTTATGCCTCATAAAGTATTTTTCTGAGGTCTGTCTTATCAGGTAAATTACTGTACACAGTGTATTCATTAATTTTCATTTTCATGTAGTAAAGGCTCTATGCCTTCATAAAGGACGTACTTTTCCTTTGTTTAAGGGTATTTGGGCAATTTATTCTCTGTTGTATTCTCAAGCAAACAATACATACAAGTACAGTACAATATTTTATCAGGAAACACGCATACTTATCCTTTTTTAACCCCATTCCCGATAACCCGGCATTTTCACAAACTCGGCCACCCTTCGGTCCACATTAGGCCGAGTTTTCGAGGTTCTACTGTATTAGGTTGAAGGTTTGTTTGAATATTACTTCAGTCAGTATAAATATTTAATGTTAAAATTAATTGCAGTAGAGTAAAATTTTAATTTTTAAATCTTTTTCTAAAATCTTCCTTTTAAAAGTACTTAATATTTATTTCTTTCTCCTCCTGTACTTAGATTGTTTTTGGATAATTTCAAAGCATAATGTAGAAAATTACTGGATTACTATTGTTTACTACATTTGACTTAATAATAATTAGAATATTTAATTTCATTTAGATATCCATATGGCTGCAATTCGTAAAAAGTTGGTTATTGTTGGTGATGGAGCTTGTGGTAAAACCTGTCTTCTGATTGTCTTCAGCAAAGACCAATTTCCAGAAGTCTATGTTCCTACTGTGTTTGAAAATTATGTAGCTGATATTGAAGTAGACGGAAAGCAGGTAAAAATAAATTGTTTGTTTATTTAAAGATTTATATTTTTGAGCTTAATACTTTCAAATAAACAATTTATATTTAAAAAATTTAGTTTTTCTAGACTAATTAGTTTTTCTATGTTTTGATATAATAATATTTTATCACATTATCTGTAAAGAAATAAGTGACTGAATTGTAACTGAACAAAGTGATTACACAACTTTTTGCCTTTATGTACTGTACATATTGTCTAATGGATTTAAATTGTGTTTGATTTAGCTTTTTAGTACTTTATATTTACTATTTTTATAATGCTTTTGCAATTAAAAGCTTGTTTTAAATGCAAAAAAAAAAATTTTTTTTAGGTTATTTGATAAATTTAGTTAATTTAATGATTCTAAATTTGGAATTCGGTTTCCTTCTATTGACAAATTCATAATTGGATAATTTGAATATATTGAAATAACAGAAGAGAACAATGGCCCAGTAAGTGATTTCAAATCCATTTTTGCAAGTTGAATGTTTTACCAGATATACCAATAATTGATAATTGTTTGTCCAGATCATGAGAATACATGTCAGAAAGGTTCAAGAAGCATTTTATACCTACAATAAACAGATTTCTCTATCAGAATAGTGTTTTTTTTTCCTGTGCATTTCTAAACTGATCTGAATTATCTATTTACTGAAATTGTCATAGATAGCAACTTGTTTATTTTAATGTCAAATTCTTCAAATTGTTAAATACAAAATTTAGGATTTTAATTTAATTTCAAACAATAAAAAATATCAGTTTGTAATTTTATCTGTTGTAACTGAATTTTTATTGGAAATTGATCTGTTTTCCTAGTAGTATTAAGAGCTGTACAAAATTTTGCTGAAAATATTATGTTCTGTATAGAACATATACACATTTGAAATTTATAGATAACATAATATGCACTGAGTGACTACTTTATTTGGAACACTCACTAATACCTTGTTGGTCCTCCTATAGCTGTAGTGACTTTAAATTCATTAGGACTTTGTATGACTTCAGGAACTTGTAAAGTCAGGTATCCTCAGCCATTCTGCCATTATAGCAGTACAAAACTGCTGCAAATTGGTGGGTCATTCATAGCATGGAAAGCTTATTTGACCTCATTTCAAAGATGCTCAATGAGTTAAGGTTTGGAAGGTTGTGATTGCCATTTCAGTACACCAAACTTTTGGTCATGCTTGTGGAACCATTTAGAAATCTGCTTTTGTGGAAAGGAGAATTATCCTACTCAGTGTCCTTGTCTCTGGGAAGACTTGCCATGAATCGGGTGTACATGATCAGCAACAATTTTCAAATGAACTGTGTCATTTATGGAGTGTTTTGTTAAAATCAACGATCCTAAATTATAAGAGAATATCCATACCATGACAGAACTGTCACTAGCCTATTGCCACCACATAGGATGAGGCCATCAACTTATGCTGTCTATGCCATATCCTGACTTATCCATCCACATGACACAATAAGAAGTGCAGCTCATTGGATCATGACATTCTTCTAGTCATAAATGGTTTTCTGCAGATTCAGTGAGTCATTAAGACTCACTAAATCTGTAGTGCTTTCTTTCATTGACAGAAGTGGAATTTGTTTGTTAGTTGATATTGCCCATGCATAACAATCTTTGGCAAGTACATAGGCTTTTTTTTTTTTTTCTAAGCTCTGATGGTCCATAAAACAAAGACAAGTGTAAATAACAAAATGAATTTATTATGAAAAGTTAGGTACAAACATGGTTACTTTTTTGACATAATCACCGTGAAGATTGAGGCATTTGTCATATCAAAAAACTGCCTTCGTACTTTGTTCAGAGATATAGATCTGTAATTTCGGGAACAGTTCTGTGTTGATTGGGATTTACAAGACTATTGATTTCTTTGACTCCCTCTCATTGAAAAGTTGTTGTCAACGGACCTGTCTCTGGTGGGAAATTATTTATATATATATTACATCATTCTTTGTACATTAAAAAAAACTATCATTCAAGAAAAGACCAAAAGGTTGGTGGTTCTGTGACACTGATGTCATTGTTACACACCAATGATCAAACTCATTTAAATTTTTTCTTTCCATTCTGCAACCATAGTTAGACTATCCTAATACAGTGGTACCTCAGGATACGAAATTAATCCATTCCGAAACTGAGATTGTATCATGAGAATGTCATAAGGTGAATCATTTTTCCCTATACAATTACATGTAAAACCAAATAATTTGTTCCAACACGAAAAAAACACTCAAATTAAAGCTAAGTAGTACATTGAAAAAAAATAACTATAGTAAGGAAAACACTGAAAAATGCATTTTGTAGTTGTAAATGTATAAATAACCATAATAGAATAATAATTGATTAAAAAAAATGTAGTTTTATTTGCACTTTATCTTTGAGGATAGATGACGGTGGAGGTGTAAACTGGTTGCAGAAGAGAGGGAGAAGGGAAATGATACTAAAACTTAACTTGCATAACATAATGTAACAATAACTTAAAAACAACTTAGAAAAGATAAACAAATTAGTATTGTTATATATATATATTTAAAGAAAGCAAATGGCAGTGAATAAAACTTACAAATACATANATATTTTTTTTTTTTTATTCACTGCTTTTTGCTTACTTTCTTTCCTTCACTTCCACCAACACTTTCACTGGATAGAGGTCTCTTGGTAAAATATCTATCCAAAGAGGTTTGGCTTTGCCTACTTTTTAAAATGTTTCTAAAATCACTTAGGCAAATGTCATTACTCTGAGCAACAATACAGCTAGTGTGAACCTTTTTGGGATGTTTCTTTTCAATAAAATCAGTTACTTTCTGATAATACCTCAAGATTTACCTTTATCAAGCGAGATCCTTCCATGACGAAGCAAACACGCGGACTGAGACCAATGAACAGAAGTGAATAAAAAATGGTGCTGCGAATTAATGTAACATCGTATGGTGAGTTTTTGTTCGTATCGTGGAGCAAAAATTTTGTTTGAATTTTATGTCGTATCCTGAAAATTTCGTATGCTGGGGCATTCGTATCCTGAGGTACCACTGTACTTCTGTCAGACTTGGTACTCTTTGATCTAAGAAGGGCCTTGTACCAAAAAATTCATAAACAACAAAAATCTTCCCATTCTGATACTTTAATTTGCTTGAATTTGAGTAATTAGCCAATGACATAATACTAAACTGCAGTCACACATCCCTGTCATGTATCGTTTCTGTACAGATTATTAGGTACTGTACAGGTAGGCCTCCTACAACGCGATACCTTTACAATGCGTTTTTGCTCCAACACGGTTGGAAAAATGCGGAAATTTTCTTACAACATGGTTTACGGTATTTAGAAACGAATTATCTTTACATAATATAAAAATTGCAATGGATCACGTGATACAAGCCGCAGTTCGGCATACAGAGCTAAAAAGTCTTTGAAAACAGCTGTTTGTGGACATTGGCATGTTATTCCCTTGAAAGTTTCAGGGGAAGACCGATTTCTAGACAGATGTGCATCAGTTACCATAAACACTCAAATATATCACTAAATTTTCGATCATTTCAATAAGTGGGGACCGCAAAAATGGTCTGAAATACAGTATAAACTTCTATTGTGTGTATATTTTTAACAACATAGTGAAAGGAAGTTATTTTTTGTGATTTTTACTGTCCACAAAACTGATTGAAAAAATTTTAGCCATAACAGTGCCGAATGAAAAGAAAGGACCGTCGTTAAAAAGGAAATTTATAACTCTTCAAACAAAGATAGAAATTTTGGATCAAATTAAAAATCGAGCGGATAGCTGATATCGGTAGGCATTTTAATTTAAATGAGTCGACGATTCAGTCGGGAGAAAAGATCAGAAATTTGGTTGCATCCGGATCATCTATTCTTGCGAAAAATGTTGCTCGTCCGAGAGCACCTATAATGGAAAAAATGGTACAAGCGCTAATATTATGGGTAGAAGATATGAACAAGAAATGATTGCCTTTAAATAAAACTGCACTTAAAGCCTTAAAAATATTTGATTATTTAAAACAAATGGGACAGTCGTCAGCTAATGAAACCAGTGTTAAATTCGTGGCTAGCAATGGCTGGTTTGAAAAAATCAAAAAACGCCATTCAAACGCCAAGTTTTTCTCTTTTTAGAATCGAATCCCAGTTTTTGTATTAAGTTGGTGTCTCCTATAATGCAATTTCCCACAACGCGGTATTTTCAAGGAATGTATTTACCGTTTTGTAGGAGGCCTACCTGTACACTATCTGTTGAGAAATAAGTAACTACTCTATGTATAATGTGAAAATTTTTATCTTTTTGTAATAACATTTTTCTCAATAAAATTGTGCACGCATATATGTGGACACTGATTCAAAATTTAATTATTTCACGAAAAGAATGCTGATAATCATCCTATAATTTATTAATTTAATATTAAACTACAAAATTTAAGAAGAATGACAGGCTTAATATTCAATTTTAATTTTAAAAGAATGAGTTTAATGAATTAAATTACACAGCTCCTAGTTTACTTTTTGTAAATGGGAGAGCTTCATTTTCAAGAATTTAGATGAAAAAAATTAATTAAATATTTGTCTTTGCATACTTAACATTTTACAATAAATAGGAATAAGAATTTAAGATATATAATGTACAATATATAATGTACAAAACTTGCAATTAATGGATATACTTAAATGGAATAGAAACCAGATACATGGAAAATTATACAAAACTACTTTATAAATTTTCAAAAATTTCACTTGTTTTTTCAATGCATATTAAGAATGTTCTCTTAAAATAAATATCACAAAAAGAATGTTCAACTGATAAATTTCATAGATTTCACCAGAATCAATAGAAATAAATGTATTTAACTTCACTTTCTTTACAAAACTTTTATACTATAATATCTAAAGTAATGTGTGTTTGATTTTTGAAAAAAGATAAACGAGAAAAGGTGAAGAAAATGGACCTACACCCCTCTCATGTTTTTTTTCTATATATAAATGAATAATAATAATTTATATATATATAATATATATATATATTTTAGTCATTCTCAAAGAATTCATCAAATAATTCTCTTAATCTGAAATTGATGATTATTTTTTTTGTTTGGTAAATTTCATGTTTACTGTATCATCTTATGTAGATGTATGAAAAATTTCTCAATTAATATGTAATCTTTAATAATGGGTTATTTATTAATAAATAAATATTTAGAAGCTGAATTCTGTCCATTTTGAAAAATACGTTCTTGGAGAAATTACAAGAGGAACTCCTCCCTTGCCAGTTCTGCTATTATATTGTTAATTACAGTAACTTGTAAATTGGTTATTATGATGATCTAAACCAGTGTTTCTCATTCTTTTTTGGCCATGCCCTACCAAAGCATCTTTAAAGTTCTAATGTCCGTCCCCCTGTAACAAAAACTTAGGAAGAAAAATATGAGATGATAAAAAAAAATAAATTTATTTTAATTTTGTTAATTCATAAACTTCAGTGAATTTAATAGGGACACCCACAAAGACATGAATTAACTATAACCTCAACACTTGTTCTCTTGGTTGACATTTGCACTAGTGTTGGCATGTTTTTCTCAGAAAATCAAAGTTGCCGTATCAAAAAATATTTTGACAAATGCAGTTTTTTTTAAAACCCCCCAAAAAAATGTACAAAAATATATATCAATTATTTGTGCATTTCCCTCAAATTTTCAAATTGCCCCATGTTGAGAAACACTAGTCTATACAGTGGATGGAAAACAATATTTTATAAAAAAAATTTTTAAAACCTTGACATATTAATTACATCCGTAATCTTTGTTTTATTCCAGTATTTCTTAAAAATGACTGTTTTCGAACAGCTTGTCCATCCATCCTTCAATTCTGTTGTATGTGTACCTCAAAGTAACTTGATTGGTTCAATTTTACATACTTTATGCACTTAAATTTTATGTAAGCATTGAACATTTTGTTTATTGGTTAGATAATTTTAAATATCTACAAGGCTCAATTGTAAAATTTGATAAATTTTCAAAAATTTGGATTTTTGTATATCCAACCCTGATAAAACTAGGGACCAGCCCTAGTATAATATCAGTCAGCATTTTAAAATATTAAACATTTTAATGACTTTAAAGACTCTGAATTAGTTACCTAATAATTAATAATTTTGTCTATTTTCTCATATTTATATTAACAATAATAATTTGTTTTTGAAATACTTTTTCCCTTGTTATCTTATTTTAGGGCAGTGATTTTTTTTCAACCAGTATGCTGCAAGAGGATTGTAGATATGCAGCGAAAATTTTTGAAGGTCATTAAATGAGTTATTTTCAAAAGAAGCTCAAAGAACAATAAATGTACATGTCAAAATTAAAACATTTTTAAATTGATTTTATGAGTTTTTCATTGTTATAATTATGGATGCGTCATATTATAGTTAAAAATATTTCTAAAAAATGTTGAAAGCCCACAAAAATAATTAACAAGGAAAATCAGTTAAAATCAGTTTGATCTATAAATTAGCAATGAATTTTCGCTTATTTTCAGTTTAATTTCATGAAGTACTAGAACACAAACATGAACAATACAGTATATTTTCAGAGAGAAAGATTTCTATAAAAAACTGCTAAAGGAAACACGGGAAATTTCACACGCGTAGCCTGTAAATAAGGGGAAAACTAGGCCAACTATTAATTTCAATAGTGATTTCAGAATATTTTATGAGGTACTGTACATTACAATTTATATGACTTATATGAATATTTTAATAAAATTTATAAACAGTTACATTAATATTTTAGTAAAACTTCAAGAATGAAGTTTTAAGTCATAAATCAGAGAAGTCATTTAATGCAGTGAGCTTGTTTTATTTATTGTTTTAATCAGGACAGTATCATCTATGTATTATACCCTCAATAGCAATTATGTTTGAAGATTACAGTTAAAATTAATTATAATTCGTATTACTCTATTATGAAAAATAAACTATGATTATCTTAAACTTTATTCCAGTTAATTATTTTATATCACATTTACTGTAATTATTATAAAATACAATATTATTAATATTATATTTATATATAATATTATTATATTATATTATATTATATTNTGTGTTGATCACTGCTTTCAATGTGACAACCACACTTACTCTTCCAAATGACCACTTGGATGATGAATTGACATCTGTATTTAGACTGTATGACTGTTGGAATTTGTTGCTAACAGCAACTCTTCTCATGCAACACGTGTAACTTAAACCTTTATGAAACTTTATATCCAAATTGCCCTCTTTTCTAATTTTTTTCACAAAAAAATATTAGTTGTTAATACAGAAACAGCTAACATAAAATAAAACTGAAAGTTTGAAAGAACTTATCATCAATAAAATTTATTTAACATCAAGCCTGAGCCCTTCTTTATTCTGTATATATAACACAACCTGATATAACCTGGCAGACACCCTCCTCCAAAGTACATCACATAATTTATGGACAGCTATTTTACATTTTTTTACAATGAATATATTAATCATCTTACCTTAAGTAAATCAAGCCTGAATTATAGTAGTAATGAGGAAATTGGATTATTGGGCTGTAACTTTGCTTATCTAAATACAGTGAAAACTGCTTAGGCAACCACCTGCATACGACGGGCACCTGTCAAAACGGGCAAAAATTTCTGGTACTGAATAGTTTATCAATAGAGTCTTCGTATAAGTTACCTGTATTAAACAACCACCTGTGTAACGCAATCACGGGCATCAATTTTTGGTCTGAAACAACATACAACTGTAATAAGCAACCACTTCCGCGAATATATCTGGTCTAAATTATTGTTCAACAATGTTTTTCCCCTTCTAATATAATGAATTAGTCTAAACTCTCGTTTGAACCCACCTGAGGCACTTCTCCCACCCTTGAAATTAGGTGCAGGTGTTAATGAATTAGTCTAGCAACAAAAGAAATTCATTTCAGTTTGTTCAAAATTGTTCGAAAAACGAAAGAAATGCAAAGTGCTGTCATTAGACGATCATATTAAAGTTATTACGACAGCAATTAGCGGCGAAGTTTAACTGTGGGAAAATGAAATTTATTTTACTGTAGACCTACAGTATTTTCCTTGAGGGTATAAAATATTGTACATGATACAATTAATCAGCTGATCTCATCGTTTGATAAAATTTATTTTCATTTATTTATTTTGAAGCTCATATACAGTGAATATAATAATGGAGTAGCTGGCATAGATTAATCATATCAAATGCCTTATTAATCAGCACTAAAAAATTATCAGATAATTGAAAAATTGCATTATATATTCTGGAAATAACTACACGAAATGCAGTTTAGGAGAAATTGGATGTTTGGAGATAATGACAAACATGGCAATGAGAATTAGGACTGTTGGTGAATTTCATTACATGCTATACTAACTAGAAAAACATATGCCTGATTTTAAAAAAGATTTTTTTAAAAAACACCATAAAATACACTATTATTAGCCACTGTGTTAAGAAAAGCCAATTCTTTAGTAGTGTTTTAATAAAATCGCACTTACTAAACCTTTATTGTCCGGTAATGTTTTAATGAAATATCATCAATCAGCACATTACTTTTGAGTTTTAATTGTACTGTTTTAATTATTTTATATTATTTATCTTTGAAAAAATATTCTGCTTTCTGAAAAGAAAGCTGTTGTACCGGTTTTATTTCATGTTCCAACTACTAATTATTTACATCTAATTTATTATTAATATGATTTGTTTCTTGCATTATGTGTAAGTGTGTTTTACAAGACAACTTTTAGATGGCATCCAGTAAAAATGACTGCTAAATACAAGCTAAATCATAGTTAGCAGTGTGTTAAAGCTGGAGATTAGTGATTTACTTCCAATTTTCTGCACATTGCCCTTGAACTAACAGAATTTTCCAAAGATTTTTGGAATCCTACAGTTAATATATACAGGGATATTTTTCAGTTTTTCTGGATAATTTCTTAGCTTGACAATCCTGATCTTTGGGGGCTTGCAGTCTGCTGGACTAATATTGTATTGTAAAAGCACCATGACATTGCCACTTTATTATTAATTTTTAGAATTCACTTCATTATTATATTTTGTGCACTTTACTAGAGTAATTTTTAAATTAAATCTCTCAGATTTGTCTGTAATGTTTTCACATAGTCATTTATCTTCTTGCAAAGATCTATTATTCTCTCTGCTTATCAATATTTACTGCTTTATTTTAGCTATACAGCCTGTTATGCTGTTGGGAGCATTGCTATGGCACAATCTTTTTAGCGATGTCGTCATACTTCTGGCCACAATGTATCTTCACTATGAAAAATTTTCTTTCAGTTGTATGCTGTAGGTGTATTTAATTACTATTAAAATTCAAAAGTGGCTAGCCTTAAGCTTAGTACTACTATTACTATTTTTCTTGAAATTTGAACATGTGTTTAAAATGTTTCTTTTATTACTTGGCAAAAATCACTCATTGCATTCCTTTCTAGTGCCTTCTTCATCAGGACAAATAGTAATAAAATTATAATACTAAGAAACTAATCAGATGAGGAATAAATGGTGAATTTTATAAAGTAAATTTTATCAGAATTTGATTTTATATATTGATGATCTGAAATTTTTCTATAGGTGGAATTAGCTCTTTGGGATACTGCTGGTCAAGAAGATTATGATCGATTACGTCCTTTATCTTATCCCGATACAGATGTTATATTGATGTGCTTCAGTATTGATAGCCCTGACAGTTTGGAAAATATTCCTGAAAAATGGACTCCAGAAGTTAGGCATTTCTGTCCAAATGTTCCAATTATTTTAGTTGGCAATAAAAAAGTAAGTAAAATAGAATCTACTATAAACTCTTCATAATTTTAATTTTTAGTGTTTAGCAATACATGTGATGTTTAATTCATGTAATTGGTGTTGGGTTATTGTAATTAATTTTAAAAATTTCCATAAAATAGAGCACAAATTAGTTGTATTCATATACAGTAGAACCTCGATTATCCGGACTAATTGGGGATGAAGGTAGTCTGGATATGGAAAAATTCGGATAATCGAAACAAATACTTTAACTTGTCTTTTAATGATAATACAACACGTTTTCTTTTTGATGACATATTGGTAATAATAAAAATAAATACTGTATTTAAATTGTGATCAAATTTTCAAGAAACAAATGTTTGTATTGAATTTGGACTACTACTGACCAGCGCTAACAGACTATCTATTGTTTAAAAGGCCCTCTGGTGGCGCAAGAAGACGGATTTTATAAAATAAAAAGCAGTTGAAACTGCATTTTTATGAATAAAAATTTGACAAACTATATATCGTTTTATGACGTGTAAAATTTTTTTGTCGCATTCGCGGCTTTTAAGTAATGCATAAATCTTCGAGGCACAAGGCCCTTCGGACCACGAGGCATAGGTCCACGTCGTCCATGCCTTACGCTGCCCTTGGTCATAGAAATGGTGTAATTTGAATATAAATTCTTTATAAATACGTATGTCAAGTTATATTTTTATTACGACGTAAAATATATTTAAGAGTTTACGACCACTGTGCTGGATGAGACGCTGTTGAAACAAAAAAAAGTTATGCATTCCATCACGTACAGTACATAAAAAGTGTCGTAATTCACCAAGTGCAAATCAGCAAATTCGTAAAATGTTTGTTTATTTTGAACAATCCGGATAATCGAGGTTCTACTGTATATAAAGATTGTGATTTAAAAATTTTTTTATTTTTTAAATGTTATAATTTTCTATTAGAAAGTAAAATTTAAATTTATATAGTTAAAACTTTTTCTTAAGGTAATCATAATAATTCATGAAAAACAATAAGATTTGTTAATAGTTCAATAAAGTAGGTTTTTCATGAATTTAAGTAGTTGGAACATTTCTTGATTTTATTTGTAATAATAATTATTAAAAAATAAAGAAGAAAATAGTTTTTTTGTGTAATTATCAATAGAATAAACTAATTTCAAAAACATCTTTTTGTAGGACTTGAGGAATGATCCACAAACTATCAAGGAACTAGGTAAAATGAAACAAAAACCTGTAACTCCTGAAGAAGGTAGAACAATGGCTGAAAAGATAAATGCTTATGGTTATTTGGAATGTTCGGCTAAAACTAAGGAAGGTGTAAGAGAAGTATTTGAAACAGCAACTAGGGCAGCTCTACAGGTAGTTAGCAAATTTATTAAACAAAATCTGTCTTGTCTTTTGTCTTATTCCTGCTTTACTGAGAAATTCTCTTTATTTATTACATAGATATCTTTCAAGATAATAGATCCAACTTCAAAAATTCGGCTCACTTTGGCATTTCTATTTTGATGATCTTTCAGTGTTATAATTTTATTTTGTAGCATAATATGGTTTTTTTTTTTTTTTTTATGGAAGATTTTCGTATTAGAAGGTACATGTGAAACTAAAGTATACATAAATTTGTGCTCTATCCCAAGTAGCCCAATTGCTCAGACACTTGCACAACTATTTACAATTAACATATAAATGTTAATATTTAAAATATTTTGTTTTCCTTTAATTAATAACATTTTATTCTACTTTGAACATACAGACTAAAATTTTATATTGTATTGAGTATAGTACTTGAAAAAAAAAATATGTAAACCAGTATATTCATCAGTGACTAGTTTTCAGTAGTTCTTTGTGTTCTTTATATCTGAAGTTGAAGAAGAATGGTTTGCTGACTTGTCTCAGATTTAGTAACCTTAGGATTGTTATGTATTGATATGATTCTTCTGTGGCACTCCAAGTAAATTAGATTGTTATATTCAGTATACTTGAAGGAAGTTTTGTCCTTGGAGGTTGAACACTTGAAACAAGTGTTCTCCTCTTTTCAACCTTGTCACTTGGAACTTGATCTTCTGCAGCAGTATTTTCATATTCCAGTATTGCCTCCTGTATCAGTGCTCTAACATCTCTGGATAGATTGCTGAGTATTCCTAACTTTTTGAGATGTGGGTCCAACAGAGTGAGGCAAACTTTTGTCAATTTGAATTTTTTAATGACTGGATTTTGACTACAGAATAAATAAAGTAAGCTCCTGATGATTTATCTGTACTTTTTGGAGTGTCCTAAAAGGAATAAAACTTGTCATGAAACAAGTAGCAGTCCAAAACTATGGAAGGTACGGTACAGTACAATATGAAACATCTGGTCTTGCATACTTTACATTTAATATTTAATACAAAACAGACAGTAAGATGTGCATGTTTTTAAAAAGTTATATGTATCCATAAACAGTCAAACTCAACAGCAATACATGCATAGTTTAAGCAAGTGGTTGATAATAAGATACTATGGAGGGATGAAAGTTCAAGTAGTGTTGTCACACTAGTATGACATAACAGTAATGGTTTCATACACCAATGTTTTTGTTTAGAGGTTAAATCTGTAAAGTATCATAATCTTTGTTGAAATCATAACTAAAGTTCACTGGCAAGTTTTTCTTGTTGATTCTCAATCCAAATAAACCATGCACTTTCCATTTTAGACACAACTTTTTCCAGGTTACAAATTTTACCAGGTTGCTCTGCCTCTGATCTCAATTTGTACAGTGCTTTGTGTAACATGTGACTTAATTTTGTATGAGATCATCTCGATACAGCACAGTTTATCTTTAAGCTGCACTTTCTCATCTGAAGGTATCAATGTTCTGATTTTTTTACCTTTTTTCCATCACTAGAAGCATGTCTTTGATAACTTAGTAGTCAGTGAAGCATGGTTATTTTATGCACATGCAGCCAAACTAAAACAATAGATGCCACTTTCCCATTATGATTTGTTTTATGTAGTGTCAAAAGTTTGTTTTTACTTTTACACAAGTCCTATACTGTGTGCACAATTGTTTTCCTGACTTTTTTGTCTGTATTAGAACCTTCTATTTTTGCCTCATTTAGATAAATTTTTCCAAAGTTAAGCTTAGAAAATTGTTTCTAATTTTTATATCATTATTTTTTTCCATAATAAATTTTATAATAATAATAATAATAGTTAGAATTACCTAAGCATCCAAGGATCAATCTAATCAATTGTCATCTTCAAAAACATGAATCTGTGTATATCAATTTCTTGTAAAGCAATAACCAACTGTACTTTAATTTTGTTTTATCCTATTTTATGCCAAATATTACCAATTCAATTAGAAACCATTATTTAAACATTTAAATCAGTCTTTTTCTTTTAAGTTGATGATGAATCATAGGGGGAAACCCATGATTCATAACTAGTATTCATAAGTAAAAATACTTTAATCTTGGAAATGTGCTTTACATTTTAAATAAATAAAAAATATATATACAACACATTTTCTATAAATATATTTGTAAATTATAATATATGCCTATTTTATTTAAAATATAAAAAATTTGAATTTCTTGTTTTTACATGAAATAAATTGTTTACCTTTTTAGTACAAATATGCATTTGAAATTGAAGCTATTAATCTTGTAATGTAAATTTTACTTTACTGACTGTCACAGAATATAATATAAGGAAAATATGGTGATTGGTCAAATTTTGAACTTTTCCTTTTTTTCTTGTTGGTTCTTTGACACTTCAGGAGCCAAAAAAATAAAAAACAAAACCCTTATAAATTGTGTATAAGCAATATCTTGATTTCTCTTTTAATTTTTATTTTGTGACTTATAATAATGATGTAAATATTTCGGATTAATTAGGTAGTCTTTTTGAATCTTAAAATTACAAAAAATACAACAAAGAAAATAATTCCTATTTGTACTATTTACATTGGTGGTCAAAGGAAAAAATGAAAGTAAAGAAGTTATTTTTCACAACTTTTTTTTAAATTATGAAATTCATACAATAAGAAATGTGATAACTTTTTTGTGAAGTTGGTTATCTTGCATTGCATAAACAACTTTTACTTTCATATAAAACCTACAAAATAATGAGGAGAATACTAAATTATAAAATAACAGTCATAATTCAAAGTATTGTACTTGCTTTGTTTGCTGTTAGTTTTTGAATTTTTTGTTGTTCAATTTTCATGAATGTGTAGTGTGTATATATATATATATATATATACATACTACACACACACATATATATATAATTTCATACATAAAACTGTTTAACAAAAAAATATTCAAAATAGTGAGAAAGATCTTAATAGTAGTATAAAATTACAAAATTTACTTGTGTATTTGCTCCATTTTTTTTTTTAACCCCTTTAAAACATAGGTAATGGTTATTACACAAAACATTAACATTGCACAAATATTACTACTTTAATTCCATATTAAATACAGTAATACCCCAAACTTATGTGATAGGTGGGGCCGAGCGATAACCACGTTAAGTCAGGGTATAATTTCGCAATTTGTGTAAAATCCAAGTCGGATGTATAAATGTTCTCATTAATCTTATCTCGTCTTTTGATTCGTTCACGGTTGCAAGAAATCACCACATAGTCTCTCAAGTCTCCGTAGATATAACAAATACAGAAATAAATAACACAAAATAAATTGTAGCTATATGTCGATTCCATGCAACACGTCTGAACATGTAAGCTGAACAATTGTGTGGGGGAGTGAGTAATCAAGAGTCATGTAACACTCAAACAAAAGACGAATTGACGAGATTTGAAAATAGCATAACTCTGGGTTCGCGTAAGTCAAACCCGGAGTTACGCTATTTTCATTAGTAAAAATTTTATTGCCAGCTTCATAAATTATCTTTTTGTTGTGAAAAACCAGTAGCTTTGAAGCTGCTGGTTTTTCGCAACGAAAGATAATTTATGCAGCTGGCACTGAAAACTAGTAAACACAATGTAGCGGTATTATCATGCACTATGTTCAATCACTTCTGCTCAATTATCATCATTCAATCTGCAGATTAACTATAAAACATATTATAAAGGAAAAATTAAAATTTGTTTTGAGTGCCTTTATAGTATAATTTATTAATCTCCATTTATTTGAAAGTGTACTTTGTGTTTTAGGTAATACAAAATTTCTTTGTTTCACATATTTTAGAACTTTTTAAAGTTATGTAAACTATACACAATTGATGCTCACTCCTAGTATACATTATGCTTTTGAAAGAACCTGGCATAAATGTTTATTTCCAGTAAACTTTTCAAGAAGTTGAGATGAATATTATTTATAAAATTTTTAATTGTTTTATAAGTTATTATTTCTTTTTCTTTAAATGTTTAATATAAAGGAACATTAATATATTATTTTGAATAAATGAGGGGGAAATAATAAAATCAATGTTTATCATGCAGTTTTAATTCTTATTAATTGAAATTTAATAATTAGTGATGATTTTTTAAAACAATTTCTAATATATTTATTTTGTTGTTTTTAGGTAAAGAGAAAGAAAAAGACAAAATGTGTTCTTTTCTGAAGTACTTCCAGTAATACAAGCATGTCCAATTGTGGTAGGAACATCAAATTCTGAGAAATGTTCCACATCACTTTCAATTGTCTTCTGCTGTTAGTTGCTCGTTCAAATTTCATCAAAATAAATAAATACGAGCGGAATGTTGGAGATTGGCTAAAGACATACATTGGCTTTGTTTCCTTTTTATCAATTGTAACTTTCTGACAATTAAAATAATCATCAAACAGACTATTTGTTTCCCCATTTTAATAAATGATAGTTGACTTTATCATACTATTTCAGATGGCATTTTGCCTATATAGTTAAATTTTGCTAATCATTTAAAGTTCATCGGCTTTATATTAAACATTACTATATACTGTATTTGCATACAAAAATATCTGCGGGGACATTACTCAATTGCCATACTGAGGCAACGGATTGCTGCCATGATTAAGATGTTTATTTCTTTGATTCCTACTACAGTCTGATGTTTGAAACAGCAGCATTTTGATAATCATTCCTTACTTGTGCCTGTAAATTGCCTTCCTCTTTGTATCTTGTAGAAGGTGTCAGACAAATAATCCCATCACAGAGGCTTTAAACATTTTCTACTTTCTCTACCTTGTAGAATTGAAATTTGTGTAACCCAAATTTTCATGTTTTAACAAATACCCAAAATTATATAACAGTAGTGATTCTGCTAATAAATTGATAAAAAGTTGTTTGTATTGTTACCTTTCGGCTGTTCACTTCTGTAAGCTGCTGTAGGACATGTATTCTGCAGTCGTTAGTTGATTTTTGTGCTAAAAATCATCTTTGTAATCACTTTTATTTTAAATGCACATCATGTAGTCAGGATACAATGTATTAATTTTCATTTAAACAACTATGACAGTTAAGATTATATATTCTTTTTTAAATAAATGATAAATGTTTGTATTGTAATGTTGGTTTTTTTTCCCAAATTTGGAAACTTATTTTAATTCATATTTTATTTTAGTAAAAAGCAAAGGGTACATAAATATTTTGTATAAATTGTTTTAGCAATAACAGTTTATACCAAATTATTTTTTTTAAGAGATCAAAATATTATTCATGCATAACTGTTAATGCCTGCTTTTTAAAGTAAATTTGTCATTAATCACTCCAGCTTGATATTTCATTTAGACATTGAATAGTACATTGACAATTCTCAAAAATTACATAATATATTTTTTACGACACTAATGATGACTCCAAATGTTTCAATAGAATGTAAAATTGTTTTTAGAGATCAAAAATGAAAGAAATATAAACACAAAATTTTGCTAAACTTTATTATCTTTGGTTTAAAAATATAAGGAAATACAAATAAAAAAACAAGCTTAAATTTTAGTGAAGTTGATTAAATGAAAATATTGTATAGACTACAAAAATACTCCTTGTTTTTGTACCTGCTGCTGTTACTAATTGATGAATTCAATTTAAACAGAATAAATAGTAAAATGGATTTTATTTCCCAATAATATAAATTAATTTTGTCGTTATTAAACAATTATTTAATCTAATCATTTAATAAATATCTTCAATTTTTGTGGAAATATTTTCAAATGATTTTATAAATTGTGCTGATACTAAAATTATTTTGAAGAAATTTGTTCACAAATACTTTATTAAAGAAAAGTGTGAAATCATTCTTTGGATTGTTTGCAATCATATATTTTTATACAGGTTACAAAAATGCAGTGCATGATATTTAAGTCATCAAAATTTATCAATCCCAATGATGGATTATATTAAAGCTATGTTATCTTTTTAATAAACATCTGTGGACATCTAAACCACTGAAAACTATCAAAAATTTCTCACCAATATAGCAAGTAACTAATGACTTACTATCTTTACACAGTAATATTGCATACAGTGTATAAAATACTGTATAATAAGAGTAAGCAGACTTTCTAATTCTTACCAGTTTATACTATTGTTAATCTGAAGACAAAAAATTATATACATCAATCTGTATTTTTGCTTAATGGTATTCAACACTTCCATATTCAGGTTACTGTGTTTTTCCCAGATTTCACGAGAGAATTTTTCCTCCAGAAAATTCAGAATGGAAAGCCAAATTATTTCAAAAATGTTCTAATATGATTATCATTCTGGAATATTTTAAGATAAAAAGCTGCTTTTTATCTTGTTAGAACAAAATACTTCATTTATAACTGTTACAATGTGTTTAATTTGATAACTTTGATACACAATAAGGATACTGTAGTGTACATCTTTATTTAAAGATCAAAACACCAATTTGTTTTTACATTGTTCAAAAATGTATTAAATTTTTTAATTGATTTACACTTTCAAATTTGGTACCATTCCAGGAAATACCTAGCAATTCTCTCGACCTTTATAAGGTCAAATGAAAAATGTTTTATAACCCTGTAAACAATGGCAAATTTACCCATGAACGGTTTCTCAAGTTCGAACTATTGGTTTTCAAATTGTGAATTTATATTTTTTAATTTTAAGAATTATCTAAAAGTCACTATGACTAAGAAATACTAAGTACGTACTACATAAATACTAGTAAGTACGTACTGTACAGTATAGTATTTGAAATAGAAGAGGAAAGTGAGGAAGACTAATTGGATGTTGAAATAATAGAAGAAAAAATAACCAAAGCCATTGAAGAGATGAAATCTGCAAAGCAGTAGGTACTGATGGTTTCTTTAACACTTTTTTTCAATATTTTATTATTTCTACTTTTTAGTTTTATATATGTAACACTGAATTATCCAAATTCTTGTTTTAGTAATTAATTGGAAAGTGGGTGGAGAACTGAGAATATTTTATGTAGATGGTATAACTAACAAGGGAGCATAGTTTGCCCTACTCGTATGACCTTGTTATCAGATTTTTACAAATTTTTATTTTTTGCTAATACTTTGTTAATTGCTAAAATTGTTTGCAAACTCTTAAAAAAAAAAGGAATGTCATCGGAAATACATTTGCACGCAAAGTTTCGATTAGATCGGTAATTCGGATTGGGTGAAAATTGAGTTACTTTGCCTGTCCTTCCAGATAAAGTTAATAAAAAGCGTATAAAAAGAAAAATATCGTTAAATGCAAAACGATAGAACTAGTTTGATATCCCATATTGCTATGACTACCAGCCAGAAAGGTTGTATAGAAAGCTGGCATATTACACAGGAGAAGAACAATATTGATACCAGAGATGCGATTGGAGTTGTAAGAACAATAGCGAAAGATAAGTTACATGAAATTTGGAAAAAGCATTTGACAGAATTAACTTTAAGATGTTGAACTGTTGCTGGCTTATGGTAAATCTTTACCTTTAAGTACTCCAAAGAAAATATCAGAAGCAATCAAATCAGGCAAACAGAGGCCAATCGATACCACCAAATTTTGACATTAGGCGGTCAGGAAATGTATTGCGCACAATTTGCATCTTAGAACTGTGCGTGTGATATGGCACAGTCTCTTAGCCTATGCTGTAGACCTTGATTAATTTCAGGCAAATACAGTAATACGCTGCGATGGAGCTGGTCCTATATACAGTAGACCCCCTATAACATTGTTGATAATTCCGTGTTATATGAATTTCGTGTTGTACGAGTCACTTAGATTTTACAAATACATGAGCCGTTCACAGTCCGGCACAACATGGAATTCATATAAAACGGAATAATCAACAGTGTTATACAGGGGTCGACTGGTAGTTTATTCCATTTGAAAGCTATAGCGTTTGCGACTATAAAAAGGAGCCAATTGAAGACACTAATACATCAGCAAATTAGATGTACCGGTACACTTTTGAGCACGAGATAGATAGATTTGATTGTCACGAAGTCAGGTATGCGCTACACTTTATTGGATACCGAAAACGGCGAGTTTTAGCAACAAAGGAAAATATTCGGCATATCGGAATTTTCCTTAGCGGCGCGGAGAGCTTTTGGAATTTCTTCCGTAGTTACCGTTGCTATCTCTCGCCAAATAAATTTTATAAAACAAATAATACGTCAACAAAGTGAGAATATAAACGACTTTGCCAGGCCCCGTCGATCGGATGATGATGAACGGAATAGCCATCAAAAAATTCTGGTGTTTTTCTCCGTTCGAATTCGATCCCGGGTCTCCAGAGCGGTGGGTTGATATTTTATCTGCCTCGGCCACCCGATTAACTATTATGGGATCAAAATTTACCAGGGCATCCTAATATGTAAGCTTACATTAAAATTACAAAAAAAAAATTAATCATAAAACAATGTTTTAAAATATATAGGTCTATACACACATATATATTATTTTTAAAATGTTTTGAATTTTACTCTTATTTTTGTCATTTTAAGATCATTAAACTTTACACTATACATGGCCGATCTATGGTCGGTACTGCCCACTAATGTAACGGTGATTCTTTACGCTGATGACCTCTATCTGGTTTTCAGCAGTACCAGGCCAAGTCTGGCCACTCACCGTGCACAGACAGCATTGAACCATATAGAACAATGGGCGACGACTTGGAGCCTATCTTTCACTGCAAGCAAAAGCGCCGCCATAGACTTTTCGCCAAAAATGAACCGCCCCCCGCTATCCTTGATTCTCGGATCTGGTCCCATCCCCCAGCACACATCAATACGGATCTTGGGCATCTTTTTCACTCAGACTCTCACTTGGAGAGCTCACGAAACTTATTTGCGCACGAAACTGACTCGTGCCGGCAATTTCCTTAAGTATTTCGCTACTCGCCGGAATGGTGCTAGAACAGACAACCTACTTCGGATGATGTATACCGTGATGTGCCCAATGGCGACCTTCGGTGCTAACCTGCTGGAAGGCGCGCCACCCACTACAATTCAACGTATTGAAAAACCACTCCACACTGCCCTCCGTATTGCATTGGGCGTCCCAAAAACCACCCCTATCATCTCACTATACACTGAAACGTCTTATATACCACTGCATATCAGGCTCCGCCAAAAAGCGTTGGCAAGCGCCATCACCCACATCTCCAGGGGCTCGCATAGCCCAATGCACTCGCTTTTCCAAATGGCACATGGCTTCGATCACTATCGCTGGCGCCAGTATCAGAAACCGTACATACACAGAATGATATCCCTTATAAGTCAGGAGGGGCTCCCGATATCCCACCTATATCGGCAGAAACATACCCCGCCAAACGTGGCCCAGGTTTATCCTCACTTACGCCTAGAAGAGCTTACTCGATCTCCTTCGGAACCCCCGGAAATCGCATGCGCACGATTCCGAGAGATGCAAATGTCAATCTGGCAGGGAAGGATCCTCATAGGGGCAGATGCCTCCAAGTCAAGGATCCGCACGTCGATAGGGATTGTCCTCCCGGACCACAACATCAGGGAGACCTGGCTGTTACATAACTATTGCAGTGTATACGGGGCAGAAGCCCTGGGTATAAAACGGGCGTTACATCTAAGCTCAAGCCTAGACGGTCCGTCAGTCATATGCTCTGACAGTAAGTCCGCCATACAGGAGATAGGCAATATCTCCTTCTCGTCCCCGGCACTTCTTATTGACATCGCGGAAAATATTACTCAACATCCCAAACCCATAGAAATCGGGTGGACCCCTGGCCACGTGGGAATTGATATCAACGAGGCGGCGGACAGAGCCGCAAGAACAGATACCCCTTCTGGCTCTTGGCGTGGGTCACTTATGGCCCGTGACTTAATCCGGGAGTATAGAGAACAACAAAAAATAGAGATCACAGATTCATGGTCAGAACACTTGCGTAATAAAGGTCGAGACCACCTCAGACCCTTCGCCCCCTGGCCTTACAGGCATGCTACTTCTCGGAATGCGGAGACCCTTTTGGCCCGCCTAAGAACTGACACTGCCCCTCTTAACAGGTTCCTCTGTTCTAGAAACCTACGTGCTTCACCAGACTGTCCACATTGTGGTGCTCAGGAGACATCCAGACATTTTTGGCTGACGTGTCCAAGATATACGGAAGCCCGACAAGAACTTGGCCGTACTCTGAAGATCGATCTCGCAATCATCCAGACTTTAACACCCATATATTGGGCAAGAACAGACCTCTCACCTAGACAGCACGTGCAGGCCCTCGAACGTTACGTAGCACGCACACATCGATTTGACTAATTGCGGACAAGAGTTCATCGGAGAAAAGGTGACCAGCCAGAATCTCCATATTAGAGAAGAAAGAAAGAAAGATCATTAAACTTGTATAAGAATGTGATTTTTTTTTTCAGTTCTCTTGCTGCAATATAGTTGTAATCAATAAATAACGATATAAAATGTAAAGATTGTATTGGATTGATAAGTCAACCAGTGGCGCCCGTAGACACGGGCTATAAAAAATATCGTCGTGCGTACATTATGAAGGAAAATACCTATATAGGTCTATATGTACACGGATATCCCTTGATTAACGCAATTAATTAATCCCTCGATGTTACCGCGTATATCAAAACCGCGTCAATCAAATACAGTGGTACCTCGGTACTCGACCGAAGAATCCCGACTCGCTAGAACAAAATTTCGGTTAATAACATTTTGTTTTTTGACATACAGAAAATGCATAATTATAGAGTAATAAATAAAGCTTTTATATTCAAAATTTTACAGAATTACGTACTGTATTTTAATTTGTATGGATTATATTTTATATGGGATTTGATATACCAAGGGAAACTGCCTTTTGAAATTTTAAATGTGTTCCATAACACTGAAAAACCTTTATAATATTGTAGATTTTTCAGTCTTATAGAACTTTACGATTTTGCATTATAATATATGCACATGAATAACTGGAAGTTAGATCAAACTTTAATATAAACTCAATGTATTTGAATTTCAGAATAGCAAAACTTGTATATATTTATTTTAATAAAAGACTTTACAGATTTTATAACTGATTTGATTACAATATAAAATGATAAACTCTGTGATTAACAACTATTTTAACACTTTCCGCGATTCTTAGAACAAAGTTCAGTGAACTGATAAGTTTAAACAGGATAGAATATTGAGAAATGCTGCAGGGAAAATTGGAAAATTAATTTAAAATGTTATACAGTATAAGTTATGTGATATTGATTCTAACATTATCATTAAACAGATCTAATTAAATTGTTCTAAATACGGTCGACCCCCCCATAATACTATTGATTATTCCGTTTTATATGAATTCCATGTTGTACGAGTCACTTAGATTTTACAAATACGTGATCCGTTCACAGCCCGGCACGTGTATTTGTAAAATCTAAGTGACTCGTACAACATGGAATTCGTATAAAACGGAATAATCAACAGTGTTATATGCGGTCGATTGTATACCGTTATAAATATACTACTGTGTTCAGTACTTTTTACCCGATTTAATAAATAAACATGGACACTACGAGGATGTCTTATCACGTTAGGATATATATAATCTCTTTTTTTTTCCCTGTGGTGACGATTTAGTACACTTAATCTGAAATACAATAATTTTTTTAAAATTTAATTTAATTCAAAGTACAGTATGCAAAATAGATTATAAGATTCTGATATTACTTCAAACAAGAAATAATCTTCGTATAGCAAATTCCAAGGTGGAAATTGTACCGTAATGTTCAACAGTAGTATGACAAGTTTTCCTTCTTGATCCAGTTTTTTCCCTAAGGACCGTTTACTTCACACAGCCAAAGACCTCTCTACGACCTGATTATAAGAACACAGAAAACTTCAGCACATATGTTACCTTTTAAAAATTTCATAAGAGCATTTCACACCTCTAAGGTAAATATATTTTATTCGAATCTGTAACTAATTATCATTGTTATATTCTACTATGACGCATAATTACAATGAATTAACGTTTTAAAAAAACACACAATATCATCACTCACGTGTTAAATTCAATAGAAACCTATTAGAATCACACGTGATTATCACGATTTATGAATATTATGAAATGTTAGTGCCGTGTTGTATTGATAAATGGAATTTAAAGATAATTGTTACTTATAAAAGTCAATAATTTTTTTATTCCAATTGTCAGAATACACTGCTATAAAGTCTTCTTCCCTGTATTTGTAGGAGGTATTTCATTCTTTAGCTTAATTAATTTAGTTTCTAAAGATATGTATATATAACTTTATTAGGTTTTATTTATGAAATTTAATTTAAAACATTTCGCACAAATTACTTAAGTTAAGAAAATCGCACCGCATTGTCGTGCGACGAAACTTGATCTTTTCTTATTATTAATTAAACACTACACACGTGTGCAGTATGGAGGATGGAAAAGAATGTCAGCTTAATTTGTTAATTAAATTCGCTTTAACTTATTAACCAGCTTATTCTGTTATAAAATTACAAAATGTTAAATTGTAATTATCATATACCAGTTATATTTATCTTATAGAATATTGTTCCTCAAAAAAAAAAAGTTTGTTGCCTCTAAGATATTATCCTTAAAATAAAGTTATTATTCAACACACACAAAATATAAATTAATTAGAAAAAAACTGTATTGATAACCTGACTAAAAACATAATTTATTTAAGAATTGATCAAATTACAACTATTTATTACTTGCTTTTTTTTTTCAATTATTCACATGTAATATATATTTAATGTAAAACTATACATTAAATAAGTCAAAGGTTAAAAATTTATCATCACATTTTTAATTTATATTTGTATGTTTTTCTAAGGGCGGAAGTGTTTAGCCATACTTCATTTTGTTTGTGCTTCCTTGAAAATTGTTTGTTCTTGATTACATAAAGGAAGATAAAATGCTTATAAAAGTATTCGTTATATTTTAAAGAATTAAAAATATATTGTTATTCGTAAAATGTATATTTAAAGAATAATTTCTTATGCTTAATCATAATCTTATTAATTCAAGTGAAAATAATTAATTATAAACATGCTTTATTATCTAGAAAACAAAATAAATATATACAACAAAAAATATTTAGGTCAGTGACTTTACTGATTAAATATTATACTTACAAGAGATTATTTTTAAGATAACAAAAGCATATAAATATAAGCCGGTATTATCGGTATTTATTTTTAACCTTTCAATGTATTAAATGTATATATAATTCAGTATCATTCTTTGGTATTTGATTATAGGTATTCTTTTATGACATGAAAATTGCCATAATTGGACAGAGTACCTTTGCTAGTGGTGTTTATAAACTTTTAAAACAAGATGGACATAAAGTAGTTGGAGTATTCACTGTTCCTGACCAAGGAAATCGTGAAGATCCTTTAGGTATATTTTTCTATAGTAACTTAATATTAGCTCTGATATTTGCGGTTAATCAATAAAATTTATATTCAAATATAAAGTATATATAACTTAAAACAATTTACTTATGAATTTAAAATTACATTATGAAATAGTAGGGAATATTTTACACTCACTGTCAGTAGCAGTGATGGATCCAGAAGAACCCACAGGGACTAACTCAAATATTAAAAATATTTGAATAATTAATAATGACTTTTATTAATGTGTATACAATTATATTGTGGATAGTGTGATAAACCATACTTACAATCATAAATATTTTTAAAACAATGAAGTTTTGAACAAATAAATTTTAAATTTTTGTGTCAATGGGGAGCTTTCTATGGATTTACCCTGCTTTTTGCTATATATTTCTTAATTTAACAATTGATATGTAGAATTTCGTTATTCAAATTTTTAAATTTATTTTCCTATATATATATATATTAACATTATAAGTTTAATATAAAATATAGAATGTGTGCGAATAATAAAATATTTAAATTTAGAAAATTTTATATATTTTTAAAAAATGAATCTAATTGAATGTCCTAACTATTGAAAATTAAAAACATTATTAAATTTCTAAAAGTAAACTAATTCAATTTGCAAACTTGAACCCTGTCTAGAAAATCATTACTTCTTAAGATAGAAAAATTCTTTTAGAACAAGGTCATTTATTTACTAGTAGACATTCGCAAACTATAATTAACAATGTCATTGATACATGTTTACCGATATTGAAATGTTCAAAATTATTTAAAAATACTTCTTAAGTTTGAAGAGTTTAATAGACTCTACTTTTAAAAAGCAGAAATAATTGTTTATATAAAAAAAATGACTAAGACAAAACCTCTCTCACTTGTTTCTAGCCGTTTACACACTGCGTACACGCAGGTTTTGTCTTAGTCATTTTAAATAGTTCTAGCTCCAAATGCATAGAATATATAAAAAAAAATATGAGAGAAATAAAAAATGTTTTTACTGCAGGTCAGAAAAGTTCCAAAATAAAATTTTTTAAACAATTCTTTGAAAGATTAAAAGTTTATTTTTAATTATTTTAAAATTCTTAATATTTATCAAATAATTTTTTTAGCATTACATAAAACTATACAGATGTAATGATGATGCTAAAGATATAATTTTAAAATCATAGTTTTGCTTGAAATATAAGCATCCATAAACCCAATTATTAGATTAAAGCCAAATGATTGCTTGATTACGTCAAGCTATATTAATGCTACATTAATAATTAAATTATTAATTGTAAAATATCCATCAATAACCAGAAAATTATGTTGGTTTATATTTGCTATAAAAATTTATTGTAAAAAAAACAAATATAAACAATGATATATTTCATAAATATAATATAAAGATTAAATGTTTTTTAAATAAAAATATTGTTTCTTTACAGCAACAATAGCAAAAGAAGATGGAGTTCCAGTTTTCAAAATTTCTCGTTGGCGTCAGAAGGGGAAAATTATTTCAGAAGTTCTGGATAAATACAAATCTGTTGGGGCAGAACTCAACGTTTTACCATTTTGTACTCAGTTTATTCCCATGGAGGTGATAACACATCCCTCTAACCAATCCATCTGTTATCATCCATCACTTCTTCCAAAACATAGAGGAGTTTCATCTATAAATTGGTATATTTTTTCAAATCTTATGCATTTATATATATATATATATATATATATAAAAACCAGAGCCATAATAGAAAACTGTAGGCCCCCTGTTAATTTTTTAAAGGGCTCATCTTTTACCTGCTACAGATCCATAAGCAAATTTGAAAATTAATATTCAGATTTCCTAATGGATAAACAAAGTATTCTTCAAAAACAATACAAACCAAAAGTGATGATGTATAGCCAAATTAGCTATAGGAAAATACACATTAACTATTTGTAAAATAATTTTAGATTAAGATTTGCTACTGTAATGAAAGGTATAAAATAAAGTACAGTATTTTTTTACAGATGTTTTCACGTTAAATCTCACATGCTTTCTTACCAACATAAAAATTTTTTCTATTTGTGAGCTCCAAAAATTTTCTGGGCTCCTCTGCATTGCTGGGTCTGTAGAGGCGATTATTTCATCCCCAATAAAACATATATACATTATAATGTATTGTATGGATGTATATTAGGTGTATATATTACATTCTCTATGTTTCAAAAAAATGTGAAATAGGACATGTGACTATATGGAATTGTGCTCGTATGTAGAGTGATAGTTTTGTAAATATATACTATAACTATAGACTGGTCATAAGCAACCCATGCCCCTGGGCTGCATGCAGCCCCTGATGCTTTGACAACATAATTCTATTTTCCTGTTTTCTGTCTTGTGCTGTTATGCAATCTTAATTAAGCTGATAGTCATGACAAAGAACTTGACCAGTAAAAAGATGAGAATAAACTATATATTACTGGTTTGTATATCATTAGCATATATTAGTCCTGGCCAACTTATTTTGGATGGTATTGACTTTCATGAGTTAAAAGTGCCAATGATCTACTTCACATCTTTTTTCTTCTACAAAAGCTTCATAAAAACACATACAAAACACATACAAAAACCAAATACCAGCATACTTCAAATTAACACATTTTTAACGTTTTCGTCTGTTTATAACAAACATCTTCGGTTATATATAACATAGAACAAAACAGACAAATTAAAATTGAACAGCTTGTTCAATTTTAATTTGTCCATTATAAAAGAAGAAAACATTAGGAAAAGTGTGTTAATTTGAAGTATGCTGGTATAGGTGTTTTGTATGCATTTAAATTAATATATCCCAGTATTGGTAAGTTATTGACAAAAACTTAATACTCCACTTTAGTAAAATTATGCTGTAAAACATAGTTATACTTTTTTTTCCATTGCACAAATCATAAATTTTGCTCTTCTTTGCTCATTCCTTTTTGCACTTAACTGAAATTGCTTCGGGCACAAAACAATTACTAGAATGACAATATAAGCTAGCAATGACCATCAACACAAAGAGCATCTCTTTGTTTCCACCATACATTATCTTATGGAGAGTTACTAACCCATAGCAAATAGTTAAAAGAGATTTCTCAGTGAAAAATATGGATTTAATAGGAAATATTTCTTTTAAAATTACATTACATTTTAATAGGCTGTATTTTCTGTGATTGATCATAAATAATGCACCAATCAACTGGTTCAACATGACCAACTTGTTGGCCACCCCTGGCATATATTATTTTAGTACCTATTGTACTGATAGTTATGGAATAAGTTGGTATTCAGTTCAATTTAGCTGTGTATCATCTTGGTTACCATAAAAAAATGTATGTTACTTGCAGAAAGCAAAGTTTCCACATATGGAAAAGGTTGCTCATCACAGCTATAGACTATAGTCTATAGCATATACATATGTAGTCTACCAAATATCATTATTCAATTAAAATAAAACATTATCACAATCATTGTTTGAACAATTTAAGTAAATTTTTGTAGTTGGGAAATGAAAAGAATAATGTAGAAAACTTATTCTGTAAAATACACATTATAATACATACTAGTAGTAAAAGTCTAAGAACATTATAGAAATTGATGCAAAATTGAAGTTATCATCTTGAGATAAAGTAAATACTATTTTATTGTATATTGTTTTAAATAATGTATTGAAATTAATAGTTTAAATTTTGAAAATTTGCAAAATTAAGAAAAAAAAATACAGAAATGAATTCATTCTTATTTGTACACAAATTGATACAAAACATAATTTAATAATATGGTTATGTTTTACAGTCTATATTTTATTTTAAATCAATTCATTAATAACATTCTTTATGTAATTTTATCTTTCAGGACTTTAATTGAAGGTGATACTAAAGCTGGTTTTACAATATTTTGGGCTGATGATGGTTTGGATACAGGTCCTATACTGTTNTTCTTATTTAATTTGAAAGATATTAAAATAGATAAATTAATTTGTGTAATATTACTAATATTTGTGAGGAACTCATGTAAACACTTCTCAATAAGTAGTGTTGGGGATCTTGATTTGTCCACAATTGGCTTTATTTGTTTGCCTGGTTTATGGGTTTTAGCATAGCCGAATAGTCTCGGTATCTCAGGTGATTGCATCATAGCATTTCCTAGTTGCAGGCGTTTAGCTAGTGGTGAACTGGTAAATCTAGTAACTCTATTATGGAGTTTTTCTAAACATCCTTCTTCTACTTTTTGGCATTCTGTAGAACCGATGTATTCTTCGAGCAGCTTAGTGTATGTAAAATATTAACCTCAGCTTATAAATATACTTATATAAAATATATTAAATTTATTCATATACTCAGGTGTATAAATATTATTTACATTCTTTAGGTTATTTATTCATACAGTCTATATTTTATTTTAAATCAATTCATTAATAACATTCTTTATGTAATTTTATCTTTCAGGACTTTAATTGAAGGTGATACTAAAGCTGGTTTTACAATATTTTGGGCTGATGATGGTTTGGATACAGGTCCTATACTGTTGCAAAGAGAATGTGATGTGGATATTAATGATACTGTAGATACTCTTTACAACAAATTTTTATATCCAGAGGGAATTAAAGCAATGGTAAAATCTTATATATATTTAGAACATTCTATTACTTATTTAAGTATCTTATAATTTATGATGATGTTCCTGTTAATTTTTTAAAGGGCTCATCTTTTACCTGCTACAGATCCATAAGCAAATTTGAAAATTAATATTCAGATTTCCTAATGGATAAACAAAGTATTCTTCAAAAACAATACAAACCAAAAGTGATGATGTATAGCCAAATTAGCTATAGGAAAATACACATTAACTATTTGTAAAATAATTTTAGATTAAGATTTGCTACTGTAATGAAAGGTATAAAATAAAGTACAGTATTTTTTTACAGATGTTTTCACGTTAAATCTCACATGCTTTCTTACCAACATAAAAATTTTTTCTATTTGTGAGCTCCAAAAATTTTCTGGGCTCCTCTGCATTGCTGGGTCTGTAGAGGCGATTATTTCATCCCCAATAAAACATATATACATTATAATGTATTGTATGGATGTATATTAGGTGTATATATTACATTCTCTATGTTTCAAAAAAATGTGAAATAGGACATGTGACTATATGGAATTGTGCTCGTATGTAGAGTGATAGTTTTGTAAATATATACTANTTTTGAAAGGCTGAAGCTGTAACTATGGTAGCTAATGGTACTGCACCAAAAATACTTCAGACAGAAGAAGGTGCAAGTTTTGAGCCTGCTTTAAATAAAAAGGAGCTTTGTCAGGTTAGAATCTATTTTTTTCTTTTTTTTGTTTTTTTTTACTATACAGTAATACCTTGGCTTAAGCTACCCCAACTTACGCAAACCCAGAGTTACATGATTTTCAAATCTCGTCGATTCATCTTTTGTTTGAGTGCCACGCAACTCTCGATTACTCACTCCCACCACACTATTGTTCAGCTTACATGTTCGGACGTGTCGTGCAGAATCGACACATAGCTACAATTTATTTTGTGTTATTTATTTCTGTGTTTGTTATATCTACGGAGACTTGAGAGACTCTCTGTGATGATTTTTTGTAACCGTGAACGAATCAACAGACAAGATAAGATTAACGAGAATATTTATTAGCTTGCATACATCCGACTTGGATTTTACACAAATTGCGAAATTATACCCCGACTTACACGAATTCGACTTGCGCGGTTATTGCTTGGTCCCACCTATCGCGTAAGTTTGGGGTATTACTGTATTTTTAATTTTGTTTTCCATTTTCAGTAATAATTGGATTTAAAAAATAGATTTTTTTTATTTATAAAAGTGAAAAATCTTTTAAGTTTAGTACAGTTTTGGATGTATCTTCATTTTCAATTCTCATTTTTCAATCTTTACTTTCCCTGTTTTATAGATTACTCTATCTGATTACAGACACTTTCTTTAAAGTCAAAGTTTTCTGAAAAAAGAATATTGTATTCTGTAATAAATGCATCCTTTTAAATTTTCATATTTAAATTCTTAGTTTTAACATTTCAAATAATAATATATATTTCTTATTAATGTATAAATATCATCTATAAATAAGTTTTATTCTAATAACAATTATTAATAAATAAATAATAAAATAATAACACGTAATGTAAATATTTAGATAATTCTCTGTATTACTTTGAAAATGGATATTTTTATTTGTATAAATAATATTACAATATTATTTATTTACTGTTGCTAACATAGAAAGTTTATTTATATTTTGTAGTTATGCATTCATTTTTTTAAAAAACTTAATGTTAATTAAAATATTTTAAACACTCAGTGCCATATCCAGGATTTTGAGAATATGATGTTGCTAAAGTTAGATTTGGGATAGCAAGACACACCCTTTTCTTTTTTTGGAAAATATTACTCAATTACCTTACTTTATTACCTAAATTTATTCAATTGAATTCATACAATATGCAATATTATATTTATTTCTATTATTAACTAACGAAACTGATTGCTTTTGTACCAGTAGGGTGTTGCAACACTGTAAGTATCCTCAGGAAAAATTTTCAACAATATTTTGTTTATACATAAACAAACCTTACAAAACCCAATAAATTTGTAAAGCCAAATAACTACTGGATTACATTCGGGTTCAATATTTTGTTTAATAAAAAAAAATTGTATGTTCAGAAAAAAAGTTTTATTGAAAACAATAAATTTTTTCTTTTGTAAACATGATGATAAAACTATTATTGATTAAACAACTTATTTACATCCTAAAATTATAGTTTTCTTCATAAAGAAGTATGTATGCATCTTTAATAATTTATTTAATGAAGTTGAATACATACATATATATATATATCTTTGGCAGTAAAAAAAAAAAAAATTTGTATTGAATGAACAAGTTTTCCTAGATATATTCTTAATTTGAAGCACTAGATTGGATAGAAATAGTTCAGATTAGAACATTGTTTTCAATCCCACAACAACATTAGCCCATTTCCATTGTGAGTCAGCCTTCTTGACAGTCGACAAACTAGAGTTTTGCTATGTAATTCTTTGTATTATCTTAATTTCAGCAAATCCAATGCAATCTTATATTTATCAAATGAATATAATATTATATATTCATAATTTATTTAACTTTTTATATAAATAACTTTAGAATAATTATAATATTTTAAAAATTATAGATTCATAGAATATATTAAATTTATATATAAATTTTTAAGCTGACATGTAAATGAGAGTTTTAAATAAGAATACATACATAAACAAACCTCATGAAACCCAATAAATTTGTAAAGCCAAACAACTACCAGATTATATCAAGCTAATAAGAATACACAGTTTAATACAAAAACTGAAATAACTTACTATTTCTTATTTAAAAAGTATTGTAATTTTTTAAATCAAATATTAGTAATGTAAAAGTTTATTTCTTATTTAATTTGAAAGATATTAAAATAGATAAATTAATTTGTGTAATATTACTAATATTTGTGAGGAACTCATGTAAACACTTCTCAATAAGTAGTGTTGGGGATCTTGATTTGTCCACAATTGGCTTTATTTGTTTGCCTGGTTTATGGGTTTTAGCATAGCCGAATAGTCTCGGTATCTCAGGTGATTGCATCATAGCATTTCCTAGTTGCAGGCGTTTAGCTAGTGGTGAACTGGTAAATCTAGTAACTCTATTATGGAGTTTTTCTAAACATCCTTCTTCTACTTTTTGGCATTCTGTAGAACCGATGTATTCTTCGAGCAGCTTAGTGTATGTAAAATATTAACCTCAGCTTATAAATATACTTATATAAAATATATTAAATTTATTCATATACTCAGGTGTATAAATATTATTTACATTCTTTAGGTTATTTATTCAAAGAAAGAAACAAAGGTTAGAGCAAATATGTATTTGGATAAGGTCTGAAATTTTATGATATCATTATATAATATGACCTATAACAGCAATTGCTAACTACTGAATTATACATTGAATGTTATTTGTTCATTAATAAAATTTTATATTTTATATTAATGAATTATTAAGTCATTTTTTTATATTTACTAATTTCCTTTCTTAATTGAAAAGAATTCAGTTTGCATTTATATAATACTCATTTAAAAGTCATTCTAATATTGATTTTTAGCATAATTATTATTTATTATTTTATCAAATGATGCTTTATTAACTAAAAATTCATTATTAAGATAGATAAAATTATTTATTTTAATAATTTATTTATTATACATCAAGAGCATTATTAAATGATTTGATTTGAATTTATTGTGATTGTAAATCATTAGTTAAAATTATTGTATGTATTTTTCTTCTATATAGATAAAATTTTCTGAATTAACTGGAGAAAGATTGCATAATTTTATTCGTGGAATGGATAAAGTACCAGGTGCTTGGACAATTCTTGATGGAAAAGTAAGTTGAAATACATGCCTAGTTTTTACACACGGAATGTGTAAATATAAAACTTGATATATAACTTAATTTTTATTTAATAGATAGGCTATTTATCATATTATTTCTATTTATTTATATTGAAAAGAGTATATAAGAAATATAAAACAGACACATTTTTTTTCCATCAACACTTTTACTGAAACTAACATAGAAGAGAAACTTAAAGAACACTTTTTTACTGAAACTAACATAGTTATTTTTACTGAAACTAACATAGTTAGTTACAGTAAAAATATTATAGTACAACACTTTTAAATAAAAAAAGTATAGCACTAATATAATTTAAACTAATATTATCCCTTGAGAGATTGATATTGAAAACACCTGGTAATTCCATCTTAGTCAGTCACGATCTAACGCAAATATTACATTAATTTTATGGTTGAACAGGAAGAAAATGGAGGCATCAGTTTCTCAGATATTGCATAGGAATCATCCATAAACTACATAACACTATTTTTATATTTTTCAAATACAATCCCACCTGCAGGGGTAAAAAACAATTTAGACATTAGCAACAAAAATGAAGTGAGTTTTCAGAGCTTAGAGAGTTAAAATCAGCCACATTCAAAGCCCTTATGTTCCAAATTCAGAAAAAAGGAGTTTTGAAACTGTACATCTCATATCCTTGATCGATTCCCTTAATTGTACTGAGGAATAATACACAGCATGGGATACATTGTCATCATTTGGAAAAACTACTGGTACCTTTAATCCATATACTGTATATTTAACAAACAACACACCAGTCATACATAATGTTTTTGTAGTCATTCCCATCCCTTTATAACATGTAATGATTACCTAGTACATAGGCATCTCAATTCTGTGTTACATAATTTATAGATATCCCTGAATCCAGAAAAATTTTTTTTACTATATTGATGTCTTAAGTCATTGGCCCCTTAATGATTTTGCTATTCAATTTTGTTTCAATTTAAGCAGTTTAAAGCAGTGGTTTATATGCTTATTTGGAGAGAGCTCTTGTATATTTATCTAACAACACACTAAATCAGGAATTAAACAATAATGTATTTAACTTTTCCTTCACAAAGTCATTTATGTGGTTCAGGAAGATAGCCCAGATGGAGGGTTGGGACACTTGAGAAGAGGAGACATTAAGTTTGGAGTGAAAGTTCAGAGAGGGGTGATGAAATTGGAGAGAGACGTTAAGTTTGGATGCCAAATCAGAGAGAGAGAGAAGATTGTGAAGTGCTATGATGATGATGATGATGATGATGATGATGTAGTTATACTTAGCAAAAGTTGTAAGCAGTGAATAAAATATTTTGTTGTTGTTTTGTCATGTTGGTTAGTAGAAAAACTTCCCACATTTATGCATAAAAAATTTTTGTTTTAAATCTTATGATCAAAAACTGTTGAGAATTGGCAATTTATTTTTATTTTTTACATGAGTGTTAACAGAAATTGGGCACTACTATGAAATTTTTTCACAGGAGGAAATGCAATTATTTAAATGAAATGTATATGTATAGGCTTTATTTATGTATGAATAATATAGAATTATTTTTTATTGCGATTTCACATCAAAATAATAACTGAAACACTACTTTATTACTACACACTACTTTATTACTAAACACTACTTTAAACTATAAAATTAATTTTTTTTTCAGAAGAGTACAGCTTCTAAATTTTTTTTTTTTTATATATATATTGTCAAACAGACACTGTTTAATATCCTAAAGGAATTTTTGATACTGAATAATATTACAAGAAGATGTTATTTTCATTTAAAAAACTTTATTTGAAGATAAGATTAATGCACAAATTAATCATTATAAACTTAGATTTTATTGTGGGTCCTGAAAATAAAATTATCAATTTAGAACAAACTGAAATGTGAGAAAAAGAAATATATATAAAACAATATTATTTCATCTTAGTTTTCTTTAAATCATATTAGATTGTATTTCCATTCACATGTATTGATAAAACATATAAAGTCTTTTTCTACTGGTTTTTAATTAAAATTTATTATTGCTTTTTATAGTTTGTTCGTTTATATGGATCACAGTTATGGAATTCTCAACCTAAAGGAATGGAAGTTCAAGTAGAAGGAATGCAGCAAAATGGTATTATACATGAAAATGGATTAATACTCTACGGGTGTGATGGAAAAATGGTTATTATTTTAATTATTTGAATATAAAATACAGTAAAATTATTACATTTTATTATGCCAACAAATTAATTTTGTATTATTTTTACATAATTTTATTTTATATGATTTATATCAAGATAGAATCCACATAATTAGTTAATTTAATTATCATACAGAAAAAAATATATATATATATAAATAAAATCCTAGTATTAATTTTATAGGTAAATGTACAAAAATTAATGTTAGAAGATGGAAAAATGATTCATGCTGCAAAGTATGGTCAAACAGATGAAATGAAGGAAGATATAGAATTAACTGAAGATGAATTACAAATAGCTGAAACATTAAAAGTATGAATTTTATTTTGTAAAGTAAAAATATTTTTATTTTTAAAAATATTCCAATTAGTTATATGATTAGAAAGTTTTAGAAATGCTAATATATTTTAGTATTTCTAAAATTTTATCTAAAATCTCTTTTTACAAAAAATCACCACTGGTTTAAGGCAAATGTCCCTTTAACAAACATGGTTAATGATCTCTCGTAGAAATTGGTTGGCTGCTACATAAAAAAAGTCTCAAGTAGTCAGTCCTCTTCATATTTTCATCTGACTGAAATCATCATTCTTTCAAGAAGTGTTTCAGAGAACTGAAAGAGCGAAAATTGCATGATGAGAGATTTGGACTGTATGATGGATGCTCTAAAGTCTCCTCCCATTTAGGGCATCCAACTTCAGCTTGATGTTGATAATGCACATTGTCACAATTTTTACAGAACTTTGCCTACCATTCCATAATGGTAGTTTTGAACAGGCATGCATCCCCATACACCTTCACCATTTTGCAATGAATGTCCATTGATTTATATCTTTCCGCAGCCAAAAAAGGACAATGATACATTGGTCTGATTTGGATGCTTTTGGTAGCAACAATGCCATCAATATATGTACTGCACATTCTACACAAAATTTTGGTACAATGAGTATATCATTAATTGCATGGTTAAATTGCTGGATTCATATTGGCTAACTCTGGATATGGTACGTACATGTCATACATGTGACCTCAATGCTTTTGAATGGAAACTTTTCGATCAATCCTTTAAATATTAATCTCTAAAAACTAAAATAATCTAGCAGAAAATGTTGAAAGATAGGTTAAATAAAATATTGTGATTTATTTGAGTCTAAATTTGATCTAAAATTACTCATTAATCTGATATGTCAGATACACCTCAGATTTTTTTTCTTTTCAACTGTAGTAATATAGAAAATTATTGTTATATTTTTTTTTAATAAACTTTATTGTAATGATTTTTATTTTTACAAAACAAGTATAATGTATATTATCATTAACTATAGTCTATGTTGATTTTTCATATTTGTCTATTATCATATTTAATTATTGTTATATTTAGCTATTGTAAAATATTAGAGAAATGTCTTTTGTTTAAAATACTTTTTATGTAAATCAAATCATTTAACTTCTCATCTTCATTCAGTTGGAATTTTAGTTGAGAATTATAGGATCTTGTATAATATCTGAAAACGTAATGTCTACAGCAGAATTAAACTGTTTTGCAGGATTCAGACCTGTAAATATTGCACTTTGAACAAGTATTAATAGCATGAGCATAGTCTATACAGTTATCAGTATATTAATATTTCTAAGTTGTACACACATTCTAAGTAATATGTGTATAATGTAAAATTTACTTGGAATATCTACCTAAAGCAATAATTGATAACATGACTATTTAGTGTGCAGAAGTGTCAAGCTCAAATCCTGCTGTGGTCCAATCTTTTACTCTAGGCATTTTTAAACGACTCCCTCTAAATATGAAATACTTTTGAAATAAAAAAGAGTTTCTGAGCCAAACTATGTAATAAATCAACTTAATTATTTTTTAATTTAGCTTCTTAAAAAAATAGAAATATTGAATTATAACTTTTTGCAATTTTGAATGCTCTGCTTTAAGGTTTTGCATTTCATAAATTGAATAGATAGAAAACATAATAGAAAAAGAAAATTAATAATTTATTGGTACAACAAATTGTATATCTGGGTCATTCCATGCCAACTGTTCAACACTCAACCTTCTCCAATTTTGTTCAAACTCCAAAGTTTAGGATTTTGAACAAATTGCAAAATATTAGATCTGAATTTTTTATAGTCCCTGAGGTAGAGGGCTTGATTTAGAGATCACTTTAGTCTTGTCTGCATACACAGTGCTCAAACGATCAACTTTGCCCTCCAGTTGTATCATTGAAGCATTCAGTCTAGCATAACTTTTCCATAAATTGGAGCTAAAAATTGATCACATGTAACTGAACTTGTACTTCAGTTATATGTGATGAGTGTATAAAGCAAACACAGCCTACAATAAAAGAAGTTAGTCAAGTTTTGGCAGGTGAGAAGTGATCATCATTAAAGTCTTTTGTATTATTTTTAGGACATTTCTTTATAAACTCTCTGGAATTTTTCAAGTTTTTAAAAAAACCAATCATTGTCACTTTGTTTTTATAATTTTAATATAAAATAAAGCATTTAATTTCAATGTAAATATATAGACCTGTTCACTGTTTAAAAAAATAATATTAAAAAATTAAAAAAAAATTGTTGTGATACAGTTAATAAAAGTAGATTTGTTTATTACTGCATGCATTTAGATTAAGTGGAATAAACAGAGGTAAAATCCAATGGCATCAATTTACAAATCCAGTTATAAACTATGTGTACATACCAGCAGCATTAGCAGAATATATTTCAGAGGATGTATTGGTGTATAATGGAATAATTAATTGAATGATGCGATTGAAACTATTCATTTATTGTTTAAAAGTTTAATTTATTTCATATTATATTTGACAAATTGCTTTGTGCATTTATAAATAAAATAAATTTTCTATTTTTTATTTTATTTTTTCCTCTTCTTTTTTTCTCTTTTCCACATTTATCATTTGAGCTAGGAAGTGTATCTCCTTGCAGCATTCTTGATATATACTGTATATGTATAAAAAATCAGAACTATAGAATAATAATAATAATAATAATTTGCTTACCATAATGAAAAAAATTATTATAACAAAAATTCTAAGGATAAATCCATACTTAAACAATGAATGATAAATTACTTGATGTGAATTTCGACAAAAATACCATTTAATGGAGACATTTTAATTTATCTAAATGTATCTCTGTATTATAAAAAAAAAAAGTTTAACTTATGAAATTAAACATTTAAATAATTGTTTACATTTTTTAAAGTTCTTTGCTGTTTTTAAAGTGTATTATAATTATATATTAAACAATTATCTTATTTTTAATAATGATTATTTTATTAGCATTATGTTTGATATTTCTTGAAATTATTAAATAAATTTGTAAGTTAAAAAGATGCAAAATTATTCAAAAAATTAAAAATCATTTATAAAAAGTTATAACATTTTACTTATAAAATTGTATTAAGCTAAATAATTTTAAATAATTTAAAACTAATTTATTTCCAGAATTAAAACAAACTTTAAAAACATTCCAGAAATTTTAAAATAAAACTATTTTTTTTTTTAGTAATTAAAACTAAAATATTAGGTTTTTGTTATTATTATTATTTTTATTTTTTTAATTCTTTTTAGATTATTTGGAAAGGAATTTTGTGCTTAGAAATAGACAGTAAAACTGATTTCTTTAAAAGTGGAGCAGGGTCAATGGATGTGGCCAGGTAATTAGATAAAAATATTTGTAAAATTTAGTTTATTAATATTTACAAACTATTATTTCACAATTTCAATTTTTATTACATGAGTTTAAAATATTCTGAATTATTAAACAGTTTTAGAATTATTTGTCAAAACTGCTTAATTTAACTTTTTCTATAATGTACCTGAAGAATTATTTATTAAATTAATATAATATATAAGAATTAGAATATATAAGTACATACATACATACATACATACATACATACATAGATTATATACTAGCTGTTACCCGCGACTTCGTCAGCGGAGGTTTTGCAAGCAAACCCCATTTACATCCAATATTTCAATAACCATAGTAATTGTTATATAACACCTACCGCTGAAGAGAATTGCCGAAAATCAAACGAACTATTTTCAATTTGATCAATTTTCTGAAACGTTTACAATCGTTCTATAATCGAACCAATACGCAATAACAAATTCGAATTTAAAACGGTTCGAACATTTTTAAAATCGAAATAGATAAAAATATTTATAACAATGTCTGAAATGTTATTAATTTAATACACCTAAGTACTCGATGAAAACTATATTCTCTCCCTCACCCCCCGCGGGGAAATTTCTAAAAATCCCTTCTTAGTGTACATTCTCATGGCATACCCTACTACAACGCAGATAAAAACAAAAAATCGCATCTAAAATAGCGCAGTAGAAGCCGTTCTTCCGGTTAAGCCTTAATGCTCTCCCTCACCCCCCCGCGTTGGAATTTCGAAAAATCCTTTCTTAGTGTGCGTTTCCATGACGTACCCTAACTGTGTACCAAATTTCACCTCTTTAGGTTAAGCGGTTTGCTCTGGGCGATGATGAATCAGTGAATGAATGAGTGAGTCAGTCAGGACAAGCAATTTTATATATTTAGATTAAAACAGACTAAAGAAAAGGCAATAATGTTTTGATATTTTTCCAATAATTCAGTATTATAAAACTAACTTTATAATAGGTATTTTGATATAATTTATTGCATTTCATATGTAGGCTAAAATTATTTTAATTTTTTTTTTAATGCTCACAAGTTTTAATTTTTATCCTTTAATTGCATTTGTATCTATATATATTCAAATGCAATTACATGATTACATGCCACACTATCTGCAAAAATCTGTACTGTCAGTGTTTGACAGGTGTTTCTACATATGTCTAGATGCTTAAGCAATCATTTACGATAAACAGAAAATATTTAAATGTGCTTAGTAGATTTTAATGTTTTACAATATAATGAGCATTATGTTTTTGAAAGAACCAAATCAAACATATTATTTATTAGACACAACAAAGAAATTTCACAGCTGTCCTAATTGGATGATGCTCACTGCAAAATTGAAGACATGAAATGGTGTGCCTCATAATCACTTGGAGTGAATGCAAGGAACAGCTTCCAAATTTTTAATAAAATAAATTTGAGACCACCACCACAAAACATAAATCTACAAATACAACTTCCACGAATATGGAGATCTAACTATAATATTTGGAAAAAAGAAATAGTTATATCATCTTGTATGTAATTAATTTGCATTTAAATACTTTTTCATTAATTAATTTACATAATTTTTAGGTAGTTTATTCAGTTTTAAAGAAAAAAATAAATTTTTAGGTTAATGTAAAATCAGTTTCTTAAACTGACACAAAATGTTTATTATATATAAAAAAAATATACTTCAAATATCTACATATTGATATAATAAGAGATGAATACTTTTATAGGAAAATATTTAATTTTATTCTTTAGGTTGGTTGAAGAAATTCGAGAAAAATGCGGAATTCAATTAGAAAATGAAGACGTATACATGTCCACTCAGTTTGATGATTTTGTAAAAATGGTAATTTTAAAATATAGAGGTGGATCTGGTTCACCTGTTCTAATTTTCGAACCAGTAAGTTTTTCTTTTAAGTTTAACAATTTTGTTTACATTTAAACCAGAAAACTAAATTTTCTAAATAATAAAATAACGTATTTTAAATTTAAAATGAAAACGACACTTTATTTTTCTTTAGTGTTATGAATAAATTATTTTGAATAACTCTACATATTATTCAAAACAGATCTTCAGATATTATTTTAGTAAGAAAAAAATAAAATATTTATGAAATATGAAAAAAAAAAGAATTAATTTGGAACAGTGATTATAGAATATAAAAGCTTGAAATGTGTGAAATAAAAAAAATTTAGTGTTGTTTCCATAGAATCTAATATATAAATTTAAATATTAGTTATGTACTGTACTAGAAACATTTTCTATTAGTTTATAAATTGTTACAATAATAAAAGACAGTAGAACCCCTCTAATCTATCTCCTTTGGGACTGGGGGTATGGTTGGAACGCAAAAAAGGTCGGATTATCAGAAAAAAGTAAAATAAACAATCTTCCCCTTTGTCCAGTCTTTGTAGCACTGCTAATTTTTCATTTAATGAAAGAGTAACGTGTTTACGTTTCACTCCTGACATGTTGAAAACACACACAAAACTGTACATGTACACACAATGTAAAACATATACTGTAACGAACACAGAAAAACGCCACGAACGGTGAGTCACCGACGAGTTGGGACAAGTTTCTCGATTCCGACCACGGTCGGATTAACCGGCGTGACGGACTAGCCGAGGACGGACTAGAGGGGTTCTACTGGAGTTGCAAATCAAATTTAAATACAGTTTTAGGCACCATAGTTTTTTTTTATTATTCTAATTATATATCTTAACTGTTATTTGATTGATTTTTCAAATTTATTGTAATATAATAGTTATGAAATTACCATTAAAATTTTTTTATTAACTTTTAATAAATGTACAAAGTATAAATTACGATATCTAAGATATAGAAAAAATATTGAAAGAATAAATTTGTAAAATTTATACTATAATTCTATGCTACCATATGTTAGGATAAACAATTCATTAAAAATAGTAAGTCACATGATTATCTTTAAAATACTAATACAATTTAAAATGTCTTGTCATTAACTTAAATTCATAAAATATAAACTGAAATATTAATTTACATAAACTATATGAACATTAAAATACATTAAAAAAAAAAAAGACATTGTATAAATGAAAATAGTGAAATTATTAATAATTAAAATTTAAAATATTTACATAAAAATTCTTTCTTTGTACATTTTAACACAGATTTACTAGAGAAATTCTTACGTAAATCTGTACAGTTAAAAATAATTGCATTATTAAAATATTTAAATAATAATATGCATTAGTATTAATGTTTAAATATATTTATGGTCTCTAGTGGTTTTTTTTTATATATTTATTTCAAGTCTAATGTAGTTCTGTTCCTAAATTTATATTAATACACTATCATTGTTTATAATTTCAATAAATTCCCAGATTTAATAAGTATTATAGTATTTTTTATTATAATTTATAAATCAATCTAATTGTAGTTAAACTAATTTTTCATAAAATTTAATTTTTATAATTAATATTTTTATAATTATATTATATAATTATCTACAATAGCAAAATCGTACTTACTAAATCTTTATTGTCCGGTACTTCTTAACTATTCGTAAAAACAAACGTTTTCGGCTTCAGTCGAGGTCTGCTTCAGGTTAAAAGAACAATCGGTTTCCACTCTTAGAATGAGTGTTTAGTTTTAAAATATTCGAACTCGTGCGCGTGTTATGTATCATCATCGTTTTCTTGTTCTCCACATACGTAGCGCCAAGCATAGGAAAGCTATTGTAGATAATTATATTTAATATATAATTATCTACAATAGTCGTTTTCTTGTTCTCCACATACGTAGCGCCAAGCATAGGAAAGCTATTGTAGATAATTATATTTATTATATAATTATCTACAATAGCAAAATCGTACTTACTAAATCTTTATTGTCCGGTACTTCTTAACTATTCGTAAAAACAAACGTTTTCGGCTTCAGTCGAGGTCTGCTTCAGGTTAAAAGAACAATCGGTTTCCACTCTTAGAATGAGTGTTTAGTTTTAAAATATTCGAACTCGTGCGCGTGTTATGTATCATCATCGTTTTCTTGTTCTTCACATACGTAGCGCCAAGCATAGGAAAGCTATTGTAGATAATTATATTTAATATATAATTATCTACAATAGATAATTATATATTAAATAGTAAAAACAAAAGATCACAGAATGCATTTGTACAAAAATAAAAAATAAAAATCTTATTCCTGTATTAGATTGGATATTTTTTTTGGATATTATATATTATTAAACTTTAAGTTAAAGTATTAAACAAATACGAATAAATACAGGTGGTCGAAAAGTCAATTGATCACAGCTTTATAATGATTAATTGATTTTTGGTTCATCCTGTACATTAATAAAATACTATAAAACTAAATAATGTAAATGATTTAAATATATATTTTACACTTCAGTTTATAACTGTCAAACATTTCTAAATGCTTGAAACTATATTAATACCATCATCTAACTAATAATTTATTGGTTACAAGATTATTTATTTCTAATAATTGAGTCTTAAATAATACTACCAAATTAATAATTATGAAAAACATTGAAAAATAATGTAGATTAAATTCTATTTAAATTTACTTTATGCTGTACAAAATATTATAATAAATTAAAACAATTCAAGTATTTATAACCTTTTTTTTTTGTTTTTTTTTAGTTTTGTTTAAATGCAAACAATTTAAATCTCAGTTTTCCTACTCAATTATTTATTAATAATCAATTTGTTGATTCATCTGAAGGAAAAACTCTAAAATCTATAAATCCTACAAATGAAGAGGTATTGTTCTTTTCTCTACTTGTTCTTTAAGATTTTTTTTTATATAAATGAAAACTTAAAAAAGGAATTTTCTTGAAAGCTGATATGTGAAGTTCAGTGTGCTTCTAAAGATGATGTTGATAAAGCAGTTAAGGCTGCTAAAGTAAGTATTGAATAAGCTTTAATAATGAATCATATAGATTTTTAATAATAATATTATTAAAAGCACAGTTAACTCTAACGATAATAAATGATTTAAACTTTATGTAAAGGTTAAAAATGATAAAATATACATTTTTTAAAATATTTATCTATTGATGTTTAAATATATTTTTGGCTTTCGTCTACAGTATCAGGAATATATACATAATTAAAATTAAGAATGTGGGAAATTATTAATGAATATTGTATAACTATAATTTAGAAATACCTGTAGTGTGATTTATGTTAAAATGTTAAAATCATTATTAACATGAAAAAACAAAGTAATAAATCTGAAAAACAGATAATATCCAAACCAAAGTATATATTTATTTAAAAAATTAAATCAAGACCCATATTCCAAAGTTACAAAAATATATTTGGCTTGGATGGGATCCAAATTCAATCTTCAATAACATTGTTTTTTTTTTTGTCTTGGTTTTAATTTTAAACTAAATTTTAGACAGGAAAATATGTTATGTACTGTATATTAAAGTTCATATCTTATGTATTGCTATTAGCTTAATTATTTAATTTTTTTCTGAACAAATAAATAATTTTATTGACTTTACTAGATAATTCAGTTCTTAATATTAAAACTCAAGAAATCAGAAACCATTGTAAAGTTTTTAAATAAGTAATGCCAAAAATTTTAGATTGTTCTTTAATGTTTTTAAGAATTCATGAACAGAAGTTTAGATATTTCCGAAGTTAATTTAGTATGAAAAATGTAAAATATTTGAGTAGCCCAAGACATAGCCAAAGATTGCAGCGCCACAGCACTGGCAAAAATTTAAATTTTCTGACTGGAATTCTTTCGGATAATTGATTTTTGGATAAATGACGCTCTACTGTATTTATATATAAGGACCTTGAATAAGTTCTTGCTGTTTTTTTGTGAAAATTAACACTTTATTTAAAAAAAGTCATAATAAACACGTCACTGAAAGTATTGTCCGTCGCTAGCCACTACTTTCTCCTATCATTCTAGCAGCATTTGAATTCCATGTCGGAAAAACGACACGTTTTTTGAGGCTATCCAAGAATCAATCCATTTTTTGGCATCTTCATAAGAACGAAAGTGCTGCTCAGCCAGGCCACGTGACANCGTTGGAATTTCGAAAAATCCTTTCTTAGTGTGCGTTTCCATGACGTACCCTAACTGTGTACCAAATTTCACCTCTTTAGGTTAAGCGGTTTGCTCTGGGCGATGATGAATCAGTGAATGAATGAGTGAGTCAGTCAGGACAAGCAATTTTATATATTTAGATTAAAACAGACTAAAGAAAAGGCAATAATGTTTTGATATTTTTCCAATAATTCAGTATTATAAAACTAACTTTATAATAGGTATTTTGATATAATTTATTGCATTTCATATGTAGGCTAAAATTATTTTAATTTTTTTTTTAATGCTCACAAGTTTTAATTTTTATCCTTTAATTGCATTTGTATCTATATATATTCAAATGCAATTACATGATTACATGCCACACTATCTGCAAAAATCTGTACTGTCAGTGTTTGACAGGTGTTTCTACATATGTCTAGATGCTTAAGCAATCATTTACGATAAACAGAAAATATTTAAATGTGCTTAGTAGATTTTAATGTTTTACAATATAATGAGCATTATGTTTTTGAAAGAACCAAATCAAACATATTATTTATTAGACACAACAAAGAAATTTCACAGCTGTCCTAATTGGATGATGCTCACTGCAAAATTGAAGACATGAAATGGTGTGCCTCATAATCACTTGGAGTGAATGCAAGGAACAGCTTCCAAATTTTTAATAAAATAAATTTGAGACCACCACCACAAAACATAAATCTACAAATACAACTTCCACGAATATGGAGATCTAACTATAATATTTGGAAAAAAGAAATAGTTATATCATCTTGTATGTAATTAATTTGCATTTAAATACTTTTTCATTAATTAATTTACATAATTTTTAGGTAGTTTATTCAGTTTTAAAGAAAAAAATAAATTTTTAGGTTAATGTAAAATCAGTTTCTTAAACTGACACAAAATGTTTATTATATATAAAAAAAATATACTTCAAATATCTACATATTGATATAATAAGAGATGAATACTTTTATAGGAAAATATTTAATTTTATTCTTTAGGTTGGTTGAAGAAATTCGAGAAAAATGCGGAATTCAATTAGAAAATGAAGACGTATACATGTCCACTCAGTTTGATGATTTTGTAAAAATGGTAATTTTAAAATATAGAGGTGGATCTGGTTCACCTGTTCTAATTTTCGAACCAGTAAGTTTTTCTTTTAAGTTTAACAATTTTGTTTACATTTAAACCAGAAAACTAAATTTTCTAAATAATAAAATAACGTATTTTAAATTTAAAATGAAAACGACACTTTATTTTTCTTTAGTGTTATGAATAAATTATTTTGAATAACTCTACATATTATTCAAAACAGATCTTCAGATATTATTTTAGTAAGAAAAAAATAAAATATTTATGAAATATGAAAAAAAAAAGAATTAATTTGGAACAGTGATTATAGAATATAAAAGCTTGAAATGTGTGAAATAAAAAAAATTTAGTGTTGTTTCCATAGAATCTAATATATAAATTTAAATATTAGTTATGTACTGTACTAGAAACATTTTCTATTAGTTTATAAATTGTTACAATAATAAAATACAGTAGAACCCCTCTAATCTATCTCCTTTGGGACTGGGGGTATGGTTGGAACGCAAAAAAGGTCGGATTATCAGAAAAAAGTAAAATAAACAATCTTCCCCTTTGTCCAGTCTTTGTAGCACTGCTAATTTTTCATTTAATGAAAGAGTAACGTGTTTACGTTTCACTCCTGACATGTTGAAAACACACACAAAACTGTACATGTACACACAATGTAAAACATATACTGTAACGAACACAGAAAAACGCCACGAACGGTGAGTCACCGACGAGTTGGGACAAGTTTCTCGATTCCGACCACGGTCGGATTAACCGGCGTGACGGACTAGCCGAGGACGGACTAGAGGGGTTCTACTGGAGTTGCAAATCAAATTTAAATACAGTTTTAGGCACCATAGTTTTTTTTTATTATTCTAATTATATATCTTAACTGTTATTTGATTGATTTTTCAAATTTATTGTAATATAATAGTTATGAAATTACCATTAAAATTTTTTTATTAACTTTTAATAAATGTACAAAGTATAAATTACGATATCTAAGATATAGAAAAAATATTGAAAGAATAAATTTGTAAAATTTATACTATAATTCTATGCTACCATATGTTAGGATAAACAATTCATTAAAAATAGTAAGTCACATGATTATCTTTAAAATACTAATACAATTTAAAATGTCTTGTCATTAACTTAAATTCATAAAATATAAACTGAAATATTAATTTACATAAACTATATGAACATTAAAATACATTAAAAAAAAAAAAGACATTGTATAAATGAAAATAGTGAAATTATTAATAATTAAAATTTAAAATATTTACATAAAAATTCTTTCTTTGTACATTTTAACACAGATTTACTAGAGAAATTCTTACGTAAATCTGTACAGTTAAAAATAATTGCATTATTAAAATATTTAAATAATAATATGCATTAGTATTAATGTTTAAATATATTTATGGTCTCTAGTGGTTTTTTTTTATATATTTATTTCAAGTCTAATGTAGTTCTGTTCCTAAATTTATATTAATACACTATCATTGTTTATAATTTCAATAAATTCCCAGATTTAATAAGTATTATAGTATTTTTTATTATAATTTATAAATCAATCTAATTGTAGTTAAACTAATTTTTCATAAAATTTAATTTTTATAATTAATATTTTTATAATTATATTATATAATTATCTACAATAGCAAAATCGTACTTACTAAATCTTTATTGTCCGGTACTTCTTAACTATTCGTAAAAACAAACGTTTTCGGCTTCAGTCGAGGTCTGCTTCAGGTTAAAAGAACAATCGGTTTCCACTCTTAGAATGAGTGTTTAGTTTTAAAATATTCGAACTCGTGCGCGTGTTATGTATCATCATCGTTTTCTTGTTCTTCACATACGTAGCGCCAAGCATAGGAAAGCTATTGTAGATAATTATATTTAATATATAATTATCTACAATAGATAATTATATATTAAATAGTAAAAACAAAAGATCACAGAATGCATTTGTACAAAAATAAAAAATAAAAATCTTATTCCTGTATTAGATTGGATATTTTTTTTGGATATTATATATTATTAAACTTTAAGTTAAAGTATTAAACAAATACGAATAAATACAGGTGGTCGAAAAGTCAATTGATCACAGCTTTATAATGATTAATTGATTTTTGGTTCATCCTGTACATTAATAAAATACTATAAAACTAAATAATGTAAATGATTTAAATATATATTTTACACTTCAGTTTATAACTGTCAAACATTTCTAAATGCTTGAAACTATATTAATACCATCATCTAACTAATAATTTATTGGTTACAAGATTATTTATTTCTAATAATTGAGTCTTAAATAATACTACCAAATTAATAATTATGAAAAACATTGAAAAATAATGTAGATTAAATTCTATTTAAATTTACTTTATGCTGTACAAAATATTATAATAAATTAAAACAATTCAAGTATTTATAACCTTTTTTTTTTGTTTTTTTTTAGTTTTGTTTAAATGCAAACAATTTAAATCTCAGTTTTCCTACTCAATTATTTATTAATAATCAATTTGTTGATTCATCTGAAGGAAAAACTCTAAAATCTATAAATCCTACAAATGAAGAGGTATTGTTCTTTTCTCTACTTGTTCTTTAAGATTTTTTTTTATATAAATGAAAACTTAAAAAAGGAATTTTCTTGAAAGCTGATATGTGAAGTTCAGTGTGCTTCTAAAGATGATGTTGATAAAGCAGTTAAGGCTGCTAAAGTAAGTATTGAATAAGCTTTAATAATGAATCATATAGATTTTTAATAATAATATTATTAAAAGCACAGTTAACTCTAACGATAATAAATGATTTAAACTTTATGTAAAGGTTAAAAATGATAAAATATACATTTTTTAAAATATTTATCTATTGATGTTTAAATATATTTTTGGCTTTCGTCTACAGTATCAGGAATATATACATAATTAAAATTAAGAATGTGGGAAATTATTAATGAATATTGTATAACTATAATTTAGAAATACCTGTAGTGTGATTTATGTTAAAATGTTAAAATCATTATTAACATGAAAAAACAAAGTAATAAATCTGAAAAACAGATAATATCCAAACCAAAGTATATATTTATTTAAAAAATTAAATCAAGACCCATATTCCAAAGTTACAAAAATATATTTGGCTTGGATGGGATCCAAATTCAATCTTCAATAACATTGTTTTTTTTTTTGTCTTGGTTTTAATTTTAAACTAAATTTTAGACAGGAAAATATGTTATGTACTGTATATTAAAGTTCATATCTTATGTATTGCTATTAGCTTAATTATTTAATTTTTTTCTGAACAAATAAATAATTTTATTGACTTTACTAGATAATTCAGTTCTTAATATTAAAACTCAAGAAATCAGAAACCATTGTAAAGTTTTTAAATAAGTAATGCCAAAAATTTTAGATTGTTCTTTAATGTTTTTAAGAATTCATGAACAGAAGTTTAGATATTTCCGAAGTTAATTTCATTTAAAATCAGTTAAAAATTTATTAAAAGAAAATTTTTCTATAAATTAGAAGAAATAATTATTTAAAAGCTTAAAATTAGTTTTAAAATTTTATAAATCGAATAATTTATATAATTGTAATTCAAAATTTTTAATATATATAAAAAAATGTTGACTATATATTATAGATAGCTTTTGAATCTGGTGAATGGAGAAAAATGAATGCTAGAGACAGAGGAAGATTGCTTTATAAGTAAATATTTAAAAGTTAATATAATTTTTTTTTTGTAAGTTATTGTGTTTTATAAAATATATATATATTTATTCCAGATTAGGTGATTTAATGGAACAACATAAAGAGGAATTAGCTACATTAGAAAGTATTGATTCTGGTGCAGTTTATACTCTAGCATTAAAAACTCATGTTGGAATGTCTATAGATACTTGGCGTTACTTTGCTGGCTGGTGTGATAAGATTCAAGGTGCTACCATTCCTATAAATCATGCTAGACCAAATCATAATCTTACATTAACAAAGAAAGAACCAATTGGGTAAAGAAAAAAAAAATATATTAAATTTAACAGTAATATTTATTAATGTAGAATATATCTTCTAATAACCAAAATTTTTTACATCAGAGTTTGTGCTATTGTTACACCCTGGAACTATCCTTTAATGATGGTTTCTTGGAAAATGGCTGCATGCTTAGCTGCTGGAAATACTGTGATTATCAAACCAGCTCAAGTTTCACCATTGACAGCATTGAAATTAGCAGAATTGAGTGTTCATGCAGGATTTCCACCTGGTGTGATTAATATTTTACCTGGAAGAGGTTTGTCTATTATTAAAGTTATTTATAATGAATTAATTTTTATAAGTAATGTAAATAAAAGTCATAAAAATTTTTATTAATTTGAGTTTAGGTGGAGAATGTGGACAGGCTTTAGCAGATCATCCTGAAATAAGAAAATTAGGTTTTACTGGTTCAACTCCTATAGGACAGCAAATAATGAAAAGGTTTTTATTTATTTAGTAATAATATAATTTTTTAATTAAATGGAATGGAAATTAATTTTAATACAGTAATAACAGTTTGAGATAAATAAAATCCAATAAAAATACATAAGAAATTGTACTGTCTTTTGGTGTTAAGTTTATTTGTTTGATGAATTAAACAAGTACTTTCAACATTTTCAGAATGTCTTCCACAGATGAAAAAAGAATATATAAAATTTAAATCTTTTTTTCTCCTGACAAAGACATTCTGAAAATGTTGAAAGTACAGTAATACCTCGACTTACGCGAAACCGGAATTACATGATTTTCAAATCTCGTCAATTCGTCTTTTGTTTGAGTGCCACGCAACTCTCGATTACTCACTCCCCCCACATTATTGTTCAGCTTACATGTTCGGACGTGTCGTGCAGAATCGACACATAGCTACAATTTATTTTGTGTTATTTATTTCTGTGTTTGTTATATCTACGGAGACTTGAGAGACTCTATGTGGTGATTTCTTGTGACTGTGAACGAATCAAAAGACGAGATAAGATTAACGAGAACATTTATTAGCTTACATACATCCAACTTGGATTTTACACAAATTGCGAAATTATACCCCGACTTACGTGAATTCGACATACGTGGTTATCGCTTGGTTCCACCTATCGCATAAGTTCGGGGTATTACAGTACTTGTTTAATTCATCAAATGAATAAATTTAACACCAAAAAACAATAGAATTTCTTATGTATAGTATATTTGATGTCTATGCATATGTAGCTAGAACTATTTCTAAGATTATCAGCACAAAACCTTTTTCACTAATTTCTAGCCTTATTAACAGGAGTACAAACGTTTTCGGCCTTCTTAATAGGCCTTCCTTGGGTACACTGTGGAGCGTCGGTTAGAAGAAGTTTCACAGTATACCCGAGGAAGGCCTATTAAGAAGGCCGAAAACGTTTGTACTCCTGTTAATAAGGCTAGAAATTAGTGAGAAAGGTTTTGTGCTGATAATCTTAGAAATAGTTCTAGCTACATATGCATAGACATCAAATATACTATACATAAGAAATTCTATTGTTTTTTGGTGTTAAATTTATTCATTTGATGAATTAAACAAGTACTGTAATACCCCGAACTTATGCGATAGGTGGAACCAAGCGATAACCACGTATGTCGAATTCACGTAAGTCGGGGTATAATTTCGCAATTTGTGTAAAATCCAAGTTGGATGTATGTAAGCTAATAAATGTTCTCGTTAATCTTATCTCGTCTTTTGATTCGTTCACAGTCACAAGAAATCACCACATAGAGTCTCTCAAGTCTCCGTAGATATAACAAACACAGAAATAAATAACACAAAATAAATTGTAGCTATGTGTCGATTCTGCACGACACGTCCGAACATGTAAGCTGAACAATAATGTGGGGGGAGTGAGTAATCGAGAGTTGCGTGGCACTCAAACAAAAGACGAATTGACGAGATTTGAAAATCATGTAATTCCGGTTTCGCGTAAGTCGAGGTATTACTGTACTTTCAACATTTTCAGAATGTCTTTGTCAGGAGAAAAAAAGATTTAAATTTTATATATTCTTTTTTCATCTGTGGAAGACATTCTGAAAATGTTGAAAGTACTTGTTTAATTCATCAAACAAATAAACTTAACACCAAAAGACAGTACAATTTCTTATGTATTTTTATTGGATTTTATTTATCTCAAACTGTTATTACTGTATTAAAATTAATTTCCATTCCATTTAATTAAAAAATTATATTATTACTAAATAAATAAAAACCTTTTCATTATTTGCTGTCCTATAGGAGTTGAACCAGTAAAACCTAATTTTCTTATTTCAGGATGATCTGCTAAAGCCTGTCCACA